CGTTCATCGTGATTAGGATTCCTTGTGAATGTATCATATGATTTATTTTGGTTCATCACACCATCACTTGGTTATTGGGTTTAAGCGATTTTGCGTTTTCCAATCCTCCTTCAATAATAACTCTTTGCAATTAAAGTTGACCATCTCAAAGCGTTTGATAAAATATTGTTAATATAAAAATAAACACGATCTGGATCAATGAAGATTAGATGATTGATCATCATGATAATCTAGTGATGAGAGAAAGGGAAGAGAAAAAAAGGAGGAAAATAAACTTAAAGCTCAATCTTTTTTTGGCTTTACCATTTACTCAAGGTAAATCAAATGAGATTATAATGATATTATTGAATAATCATTCTTAATCTATTCAGTATCAATTATCTTACCTTTAAAAATGGACATTTAATGAAATAACCAGCAATTTACCAATATAAGTCAAGTTTAACAGTTTGTTGTCATCTTGGCGTGATTGAAGCGACCAGGCAACGGTTTAAGGATCCAAAGACAATCATTAGTCAAACAGCTTTAAACCTTGAACTTGATTTGTTTAGTTGATTGTTAAAGTTGAGATTGATGTTAAAGATAATCATGATAATGATTACACAATTAAAAGAAAGTCCCAGCAATTAATATGTTTGTTCAAATATTGTAACAATTGTAGTGTCAGAATGTCAACAAATCTCAAGCATAAGACAAAAAACGGTTAATAAAGAGATTCAAATTTAAGGCGCAAAAAACAAACGCAAATTTACAGTCTTATACTTTTATTTGTTGACAAAAATATAATTTAACTTTAATTGTGAACCTTAATTTGCTACAATCAACAAGACAATTAAGATTATCATCAGAGTGAACTGAAAAATGAATAAATAAATAACAACACAGTTGATACGTGTCGATGATTGAAGCAATTGATAAAATGAACTTTACTGACCAAATTATTGGTCAGAGTGAGAGTGACCTGAGATCCTTGAATAATGCCATTTATTGTTTAATGCAAATTTTAATGATAATAATGGTCATAAGGATAATCAAAATGCAACATTTGAGAATAAAGTGACAAACTTTAAGATGACCAGGCAAATCTACTGTCCTTATTTTGGTAGTTGCCTTTGATAATAATACAATAATCAACTAATGGTTCAAATGATGGACAACAAGTAAGATTATCTCGCTTTTATATTCAGGTTATCCAACAATCTTATATCGGCTCTTAGCACGTCTTTTTTATATTCAGCAATCCAACATCACCATCATTATCATCACCTCCTCCACCTCCTTCATCAACATTAATTTGCTTATATTCACATAATCTTCTTTTGTTAAATTTGCTATTTTTTCTCAGTCAATTTTCATCCAAATTGTTGCCAACAAAGTGTTATAATTGATTTTCCGTGCGGACTTGGTGACCTTCTGTGTATATCTGTATATATGTTTGTCACTCAACGGACTCCAGGTTGCTGTTGGTGATTATGATGGTAATGATGATGATAATGATAGGATGAAAATAGTCGATGGACAGTTTAGCTTGAATAATGTGGCTCTTATTTTCAGTTTGTTTTGTCCACACGAAGTAACATGTTACTTGCTATGATAATCAAAATTGATTGATGATGAGAGAAATATGATGATCAATCTGAATAACAATCCTTGTGCGTTGGTCTTGGCTTTGTTGTTGGTGTTGATTATGGTGGTGGGGACAATCATCACCCCTTGAATAACCCAGAAAACCGTGATTTAATGAAATTGCCAGAAAACCATGTATGAATATAATGTACATTACACTTCCTAATTGGTGTCAATTCAGAGTTGACGGGTTGCTGTTGCTTCATTAATTTTGATTAAAAATTTGTTGCTCTTTGCCAATTGTACAGCCATTGAATAGGATGGAAAATGTTCCAACATTCAATTCAACAGGCACTTGTTGCCAACAATTATCGTTAAAAGATAAATCAACAGTAAATCACCAATGCATTTTATATTCAATCACTTTTACAGTTACATCGATTCAATTGGATTCAGATTGTCAGCAATTTTTTGGCTCCAACATGAAAAAGGTTGAATAAATTCCTGTTTGATTGACTGATTTGATGCTTTTGCCTTTACGTACTAATCATAATGTTGTTGTTCATGATTATAATGATGGTGATGGTGAAATTTACTCCTCATCGTTCGAACTTTGTGTTTCTTTCCTTTCCATGATCCAACTTGAGGTGTACTTTTTCAAGGTTAATTCATTTTCAATTCATTCTTCCATCAACTTCACATTCTTTTGCTGCTTCATTAAGTTTCATTTTGCTTGCGCTTTTTGACTTGTTTTCATTTGAAGCTTCTTCATGGTTAGCTCATTGGGATTGAACAAAATTGTAAATATTATCAGCCCTTTGATGGTACTTTTTACGCAAAGCACAGAGCGTCTAAGTACTTTTTGTATAAATTCACAATCCAATTTGTACTCGTTTCAAATCCTTTACCAAGTTGATCCAATTTCGCATTCCTGATACATTTGATTTAACACTGATTGATTTTGGAGGAACAAAATCTAAAACAAAAATGTAACACAATCAATTAGTTCAATCAATCTAAAAATACGTAAAAGTAAAACAAAAGTATATCAAAAGTATACACACATTTTCACCTTAATTTCCTAATTTCAAGTCAACTATTCGAAGCACGTTAATTGTCAGTTAATTCATTTAAAAATTTGGAATTTTATCTTTTATAATGAACTAACTAATTAATTGTGACCGGACGAAAAAAACACAAACGCAAGCACAAAAGACAATTGTGCGATTGTCCTCAAGATTGAAAGGTATATTTTGATATAAATAATGTTAGGAAGACACCAGTTTTGAGAAAATTTATGTTAAAATTGACATCAAAAAACGCTCAAAGAAAAATAACCATTTCAAACGTAACTTTGTATTATTTAATCGTAATCAAAATAGCAAACCATTAATCCATTTAGAGACGATGAAAGTAATTGTTGAACAGCAATTTATAAACGTCCATCCATTAAAGCACACTGGACGGGTAAAGAAGAGTATAAGAAAATATGGAAATTATGATAATGTTATAACATTAGACAACAAAACAAAATCACTTTAGGTGTTACCCTCGATTGTTGATTAACCATAAACACAATTATTAACTAAAATAAAGGTGTTTTCCTTCCAGAAAAGTTAATTCATTTTTGATGATCTCAATAAATAAAAATGCAGCCAAAAACAAATTAACATAACAATAAGACAAATATCGAGCGGTGAAAAATGGAGCCAATTGACCATATGATTACGACAAGCACCAACCCCATCTATTGTAAAATTGTAGCTCAGTGTAAATCTGAACAAAAGCAAACTGTGATTTGTATGGATTTAACAATTTAGCATTTTTTAATTTAGATATTATATTATTTGTTGACTGTCATCTTTGATTGTTATTACACCCTAAATAAACCATCAATTATATCTTGTATTATTGTAAATGGTTATTTCAAATGAACAACATCTCAAGTGTTTATAGCCATTAATATCTGGTTCAACTTAAAATGGTAAGTGATCATTTTAATATCATAATCAAATAGTTCTTATACAATTGTACAGATGAAAATAAAAGGAAACAAACAATCAACATCATGTATCCATTACCTGTATTATTATCAAGAGCAAATCAACAATTAAATTTATATATTTACCTTATTTTAATGTTGGTGCTTTTCAAGTCAAAAAAGGTAATCAATTTAAATATCATTGCTCAAAGAAGGTATAAAAGGTTGTATTGTTCAAAGTTGGTCAAGGAAAAGGTTATTTACAACAAAAAATTGATTATTAATGTTAAAAGATGTTAATTTTTCCTTCAATCCTTAATTTTTGTAATGTTCATCTTCAAAATGCCAATCCCTTAATTTGTTTAATTGTAATATTATTTACTGATTTCCTGGTTTGATAAGATGACTTGAAAACATTTGGAATCATTATTTTCGGATAACCAATTAGTTGATGTGCTTATGATTGTTACTGATTGTTTGCTGATTGTTGATTGTGAAAATGTGTTTACTTTTATTTTTCCCGACCGTTTACAATAATATTAATCATAATAATCTTCAATTTAGATCCAATTGTATAGTAATTCAATACAAATCATATTTGGCGCTTCAAGTATCCAATCTTGTACGTAAGTAACGGTCAATACTCGTATCTTAATCAGCTACCAGTACGGAAGTTACCAATTGTAAGATTAAACCATTATTGCTGCTATTAAATAATAAAACAGTGACAACAATCAACCAACCAAGCAACACTGGATTAACCAAACCATTAATTATTAATTAAAGAAATGTCCGAAGAGAGGAAATTTTGCTTCAAAATCAGTTTGTCTTTGCCGGTCAACATCCAACATCATTTTACTTCCAACTGATTCCTTCCAATTTTATATCTTAATTTAGATATTAACTCTTCACTTTACCACATTCATCTATTTTATATAAATGTTAACCACCTTGATGTTAATTAAAATTAAAAAGTCACTTTTGGTTATTTCAAAGGCAAACACTTAATCGAAAAGCATTAAAAGCATAAAAAACATAAAGCATAACAACATGGCCGTTACTTGAAAGCGCGTGTTTACATTTTTAACTGCGTATTAACCAATTTGTTTCACCATTGCTTTTCCAGTTTGTCTTCATTGGTTAATTATATTATTGTGAATTTAAAAACTTTAATAATTATTGTTAATGATCAAAGCGAAGAGATTAATTATGATATTCAATTATAATTCCTAAATTTAATACAATTTATCAACCTTTCGTGAGAATCAACTACAAACGTAACAAAGTAAAATGACTTCAACTTTGCGTTCTTTATTTGGTCAACTTGTTTTTCACTTATTTGCCTCTTCATAACCAACTCTTCCATCTAATTAACATCATTTGTGCAAATTGTCATCAAACTTCAATTGTATATTAGACTGATAACTTGTTACCGGACAAAACAGGACCATCATAATTATACAGGACAACAGACGTTCCTTTCAAATGTGATTGACAATTGAAGCTTCCGAGTCTTCAACATTTAATGATGACTCTTGAATCTCGTTGGTTTGCTGATTTACTGGATCTTGTCAATTGTAAATTAAACTTTAAGGTGTTGATAAACCTTATTACTGTCATGTTACCGGTTCACACTCAATTTGCCGTTATTCAAATGATTATCCTGATGTAATATTAATGTGTAAAAGTAAAGGTTTAGGTTGAGATGATTCTCAGGGAAAAGTGAAGACAAATCTTGTCCTTTTTTGTCGATGTCACACCAACCAAATAGGAAAATTTACTCATGAAATTCATCAACATCATCAATATTAATTGCGAATGAAGGAATGATTTTATTCCAAATTTGAAGAGGAAAAAAACGATTCACTCATAAGTCAACTATGATCCTGTAAATAAACTCAATCCGTGCTCAATTGTTATCAAGTAGCAATACTGAAGTCTCAAAGTTAATGTTGGAAAACATTTTTCAGATTGGATTCTCAAGAGAAAGGTTAAAACTGGAAAATCAAGGCAAACCTAACTGTGATTAACTGATTTCCCTCTTTGCTACTGATTAAATTAGTAAGGTTAAGTTGTCACGCTTTCATTTACAACTCTTAATCAGTAGTTTCAACTTTTATCGCTGAATCCTAATTAAAACAAATTACCATAACCATCAAAATTCACTCTTTTTTTTGCTGATTGCCATTCAACTTTCTGGCTGATGGCTGTTCAAATACTCATTATTGTCTCATAATCATCCATTGGATCAACCATGTTTTGCTAAACAATCAAAATTACAATCAATATTGGAATCAAAGATGGATCGCAACAATTGAAACCTTGTAACAATGTCAAAGTGAAAGATTGGCACTGAGAATCAATTTTATAATTAGCTGAGTGGAAAAACAAAAGATGCTGTTAACGTGAAACAATTAATAATTGAATGGTGTCTAAAAAAGGTCCAATTAAATCAACAATTTGCTGTTATCCTGAAAGTTGTGAAAGTGGATTAAATCTTGCAAAAAATTGCATCTTCTGAATGGTTAAGGATGGTCAGCATTTAATGATGATATTGTTGTTGGTGGCTGCAAAGTAAATTGGTATTCAAATGTATGGACAGCAGTTAATTATTTAGGTTGGAGGATGATGCTGATTATGATGATGATAAATAATATGATGGCAAAAAAAGAAGAGATGATGATAATGATGAAAAGATTTGTAAAATACAATAGTTACAATATGACTTGGTTATCGCTAGGAAAGTAAAGCCTTTTGTTTCAATCTTTACGTTGACCTCATCGTTGTTCCCATTTACTGACACTGACCACGATCTTTTTCCTTTCTTTTCTCATTTTCATCTTCTCTTTTTTTTCTCGTTTTCATCATAATCATCATCTTCATCATCATCATTGTCTCACTTGAATGCTACCAAACAACTCTCTTGGATCTCACTCTCTCCAGTCTAACTGAACACTGGCTTGCTTTACCAGTCTCACTGATCTCTTTACACCAACCAAGTTAACTTTCCATTCCGTTTAAACAACTAAACTTTGCTGATAAACACAACTTCATTTTTGTGATTTACTCAGTTAATTATAATTTGTTTTGATCATCAACATGCTTTAATTAACGGCTAACTCATCTCAAATGATTTGACTACTTGAAACCTTTCATTTTGTTGAAACACGTTTTCAAGTCTTCTTCAGGACTACTTCAAATATCGTGTATCATAACGTTTTTTCACTTAATTGTGCATCATCGTACTAATTGTTTAATTATTGATTTCTCAAGCTATTGATGAATACAATGAATTAAACAATTCATCATTGATTGTTGTTTTTGAATTCAAATTTTTCTTTTGTTTTCATTTCATCAACAATTTTCTTCATCCATATGTGCATCCATTATGGAGACAGTTGATTCCATACAACCTACCATGAGGATATTGTGGTTAACTTTATTAATTTCACTTATCGGATTAATACCAATCAACAGGATAAATGGAAATTTAGACAGTGATTATGGATCTTATCCAATGGATGAGTGTAAACCATACTCCAGGCCTGAGCCTATTGCTGTGATTGAAAATGACGCCGATATCTATTTGAATGCACTTCTCTCGGTTCACTCATCAAGTCAACGAGGTATTTACGGTTGTGGACCGATTTCACGAAAAGGACTAATCATATTTCAAGCTCTTCGATGGATAATCAGTACAATTAATCAAGACAATGGTTACATCAATGGAAAGAAAGTAAATCAATCGTTGATTCCCGGAGTTAAATTAGGTAAATACACTTTTAAATGATCTGTTTACAATAAACTTTTTACAATAGACTACGGTCAAGCAATAACAAGTTATCAAGCTTAATTATATTCAATTTACAATATTTCCATTCAAATTGTGATACTAAACACAAATTATTATAAAAATGCTTCAAAATTTTCAAGTCGATCAAAGTTAAACAATTAAACAACAAAATATTTTGAACCTTCTTTTCATGTTAAATGTGTTCAATAATGTTCCGAAATTTGAGCATTTTGAATATAATCTGAGATATATTAATGCTTATAAGTAGACTTTCAATTGTTAACAATTAGCTTCGCTATTTATCAACAGAAAGCAATGTTAAGGTCAAATTGTTCGTTCCATTGCTAAATTTTTATTGATTCTTACAATAAATCAAACTAAGGTTATTTATTAACTGTGATATTATATATGCCAATCATTTCTCCCATTTTGACCAATATTATGCATTATGAATGGACAAAATGAACTTAATCAGGCAACTAAATCAATCATTGAATCAATCATCGACTATGATATGAACAAAATCGAGAATAAAATGAAAACTAAAGTTAATTGACCAAACCCTGTAATAACATAACCAGTTGATTATTATGATTTAACTATCAAGTAATCATCAACAGCAATTCATAAAACCTTTGATTTGTAAGATTAATATGATATTTCAATTTCCTCAACCTTGACACCTTTCAATTGATTCAGCAACTTTAATATTTAATACTCTAATAATTGCTATTATTCAATCAGTTATGATTAAATAATCAGTCTATTTTAATTAAGACATTATCCTTTACATGATCAATTCAAATATTTACAAAATGTCTTTAAAAAGTGAGATTCAGATTGAAGTTTCCAATTTAAACTTCATTGAAAAATTTAACTAATTTGAAAAATTTCTCACTCTTTTAACGCAATTTGTAATTCCATTAAATAAAGGAAAAAACTGATTGATTTTTTGAGCAATTTATCATCAAATTTACGGGAAAAAAACATTTATTCCAATCTTGATCAATTACAACGTTGAAAAAGCCAATAAACTTGGCAAATATGGGAAAACAGTTAATAGTCAATTGAAAAAAATCAACACAATTAAGGTTCTAAATTTGAATCAACATTCATGAAAACTAATTGTCTTTTTTGCTTCACATTCAGGTATGAGAGTATATGATACTTGTAACCATAAAGATCTGGGAATCAACTATTTAACCAAAATATATTCCGTTTTGGAGCGAGGATCAGATGATTGTGAGGACAATTCACCAATCGATTTGGGTTCATTAACATTGATTGATATGTTTGGAGTTACCAAGGAGCCTCGATTAATGGCCTTAGCTCGTCACTATCATTTACCGATAAACCATTTGACCAGTGAATCTTTGGTTACACCTGAAGTGATTGCTAAAACATTGTCATTGATTGTAACTGACTTGAAATGGACCCAAATTGCAATTATTCATTCCTCTGATGAATACTCTCTTCAAGTTATTAAATTGCTGGGCCAATCATCGTTAAAAGATCGCTTCTGTTTAACTATGGTTCAAACATTGCCCAAGTTAATTGACGGCGAACCTTACAATGATTCAACAAAATCATCTGATTCAGTGGCTTACATCGCTGTCCTTCGCTCGGTTCTTTCCATGGTTTCTGAAGATGTTCCCATTATAATACTAGGATCCGATCTGTCTGTGAGTCGACTAATTGAGGTCATGTCTGAACGGATCAGTGCCATCAATCGACACCAATGGCTGTTCTCAACTCCTCCTGACCCTAAATTGTTGGCTCCTTTTGTTAACTCTTCAGTTTCTTTTTTCACCTTATCACCTTTTCCTGGAATTATTGACTCATTTGAATCAGCTTGGTCATCAGCTTTGACCAACTCTTTCTCATCTGAATCATCGCCATGGTTTGATGAGTATAAAGCAACCTTAAATGAGCAGTTGGTTAAAAAAGATTTAGGACGAAACAATGTTGATATACTTTGGCGAACCACTCAAGTTTTACCTGTGATTCAATTGTTATTCATTATTGGTCAATCTCTTCGAGAAGCCTGGTTCAACCGATGTTCAGGTCAACCTGGATTGTGTCCTGATTTGGTCAAGTTAACTCGTAAAGAGTTTGAAGCTGATTTTATGGAGTTACGATTAGATGAAGGGTCAGGATCTCGGACAAGAATAGTTGACAACAGATTGAGAGGTTCAGTGAGTGGTGTAACAGAGGAAGGCATTCAACTTGCTTTAACCAAATTAACATTCAATAATGGTCGTTCAACTTCACCCTTTGCCTCATTTTCTGGTTCTGGGTCTTCATCAGCAAACTCAATTACTTACCAGCACATGATTTCATATGATTCTGCTAAAGGTTCATCTCAATTGATTGATGGCTCCGTATCATACCGACCATCTCCATGTCCACCTACAGGTTGTGAAAGATGTCTCAAAGTCCGTCAGTCGAGGATAATTGATGGTCATCATAGTGGATCCAGGGATATCGGTTTAAGCAGAAATGAGCCACCAATCGTTTCTTCAGCTTCGGAGCTTTCATCAATTCCAGTCACCAATTCTTGGACCTTTGAAAAACGATCAGATCAACCGTTATCATCATCATTCAATCCTATTGGATCCGGATTGACTTCACTGCGCGATCAAGAGTGTCTAGCTAGATGTACTTATTCCTGGAAATATGGACATCAAAAATCAGCGTCTCCATCCACCGATTTGAAAGTAACTCAACCATCAACAACTGATACAATTCATTTTATTCCTCCTGGATCAGGGTTTTCATGGGAAACTAAATTAGAAACAATTCAATTAAGTGGTCCTTGGCATCTAACTCTAGCCATTGCTTCAGCTCTTGGTGTTATCCTTATCATCGTTTCTGGCTTTTACTTCATCCTTGTTTTCCCAATCTCACTAGGAACCACCGTTTTAGGCTATTTCACTCTATTCGGTCTTGTGGCTATGTACGGAGTTAACTTTGTCTACTTAAGTCCAATTTCATTCACAGTTTGTCTTATTCGTCGACTTGGAATGTCATTAGCTTATACAATGGTTCTTTCGGCTCTTCTTGTTAAAACAATGAACATTTGGAGGCTGAAAGCTCTTCGAGAAACTGGAATTGAGAAACTTAGGCTAACAACACCTTCCCGTTTACTGCTCGTCTCCGTTTTCCTGCTGAGTCTTCAAGTAATTGTGACACTTATCTGGCTCATCTTTATACCGCCTCAGCCTAACGTGAAACACCAAGCATGTACTTGGCCTCCATCACAATCGTTGATTCAAACTGAATCAATTGTCTCTCTAGTTTATATTTTAATTCTTGGATCAATCAACATACTTTTCGCTCTCCTTTCCTGGACTCAATCAACCTCGCCGCACGGTTCAACTGTTGTAGTAACATCATCACCATGTTCAGCCAGTTCATACACCTCATCGACACCCTCAGCTTCATCTTTATCAGCTTCAGCAAGAGAGTCAAGATGGATTGCCATCTCGTGCCTTTTAATTGCCGTTGTATGGTCACTGTGGGCTGCTGTAGTTACATATTCACCACAACTAGCCACAGTTAATGGCAACTTGACCATTGTAGTTGCCAATCTGGCCTGTGCAACAATCCTTTTAGTCTGTCTTTATGTTCGTAAAATATCTTCATACCTTAGTGAATTGAGTAAATCGCGACTTGGTGAAGTGGGCAACATGAATTCAAACCTTAAACCCGCTCGTAACTCTTCCTCACGAGTGATTCACTCATCATCATCTTTAGCTGGCAGTTACTATGGAACTCTTCCTAAAGCTCAAAAGCTTTCAATCTCATTGTTTGGCCAAAGTTTAATTAATGGTTCATCACAAGCATCTTCACCCTCATCATCTCCGTCTTCCTCCTCCTCTTCATCCACTTCATCAACATCTATTGTTGCAACAACTATACCGGCAACATTATCAGGATTAGCTTCAGTTAAATCACCCTCACCAACATCTCAAGTTAATCTTTCAAGAGGCATAACCTCATCATCATCATCTGGATCAACATTATTACGTCGATCATTAAGTGAAGATCACGAATCTAAAGGATCATCAACATTAACTAGTTCAACTTTTTTACCTTCCTCTAGAGGTAACTCAAAAGGAGATGTAACCCTTGATGATGCAGCCTCTTCATGTGCATCAACATCAGGATCTATTCAGGTTCAAGCGGAAGATTTATATCCCATGGAAGTCTATGAAGGATCCAATTCCTTGCAACAACAATATCACTACTTTGCTAAATCATGAAACAACAGATGACGATCAACACAAGCAGACACTTTAAATCAGTGTCGCCAAGATCATTTGATGAATAGTTAATCAAGTTAACCTTTCAATCAGATGCAAGGAACAAGTTGCAGCTCAATTGTTATCTAAGTCAATTTTAAATATGAAAAAAGCGTTTTAATTTTATGCTTCTTGTTTCTCTTGAAATCTCAATTATCTGAGTATCTTACATATTGTAATTAATTGTACTCAACAGTTGAACACTTGACCAAGAATATTTCTGGCAATTCAATGGTAGGGACACAAAGTGCAACCAAAATACTAAGAGATTTGATTAAAGACAATCAACTGAAATCTCTTAATTCCACATTAAGATGGTTAGTGAAATCATTTAGAAACATTGATAAACTGTTAGCAAAAACAGTTGATTTTATTGTTTATAAATTGCTGTTGAATGAGCAAGAAATGAATTTAAATTGTGCAAAACGACTGTATTTTTAAAAATTCAAATGTTTAACCATTTTAATTTTTACCCTTTACTATTGGTGAATCAATTTATTGATCAACTTTTCTTGTCTCCAATCAATGATCACAATTTGATTGTCTAACAACTCTTCACCTCTATTGCTTTTACATTTTGTAAATAGTCAACTTTACAAAATTGTAATTATCAAAGACAGTTAATTGACTTCTTCCCTTCATCTTCCCATTATTAACCTTTTTTTATATTTATAATTTGTTTAACTTGTGTGTAAATAATCAACAAATTTTACTATTAAATAAATGTAATTAATTTGCTAATCAAATGATCTTTTTTTGCCGTGAAAATATTTCATCTCCTTCTTAATCAACAACATCTTTACCATTTTGTTTGAATCCATTAGACGACTAAAGAGGATATTTTTTCCCATATATTTTAACAATCAAACTCAAGGTTTGTAAATCAGTTGAATGATAATTAAATGGATTCTAATTGACCATTGATTGTTAGTTAAGCCTATTTAATTCATTGTTGAACCAATTTAAATCAAGTATTCCTAAAGAAAAGATAATAAATTTAAAACATTGCTTTTTAGTTTTCCTATTAAATACCTAATTACTTACTCTTGTTTTATTACAGTGACTCTGATTTTATTTTCAGTGTAAAGTTAATATTATTTCAAGCAATTTATAATGGATTCAGTTGAAATGAACAAGAATTTTGTTGAAACTGATTTATCTGATTCAATGATTTTGATCCAAGATGAAGCTGAAGCTGCTTTGAATCCAAGCGATGTGGAACTGTGCAAAGTATATCATTCATGTTGTCTCCATGATCATGATCTAATGATTAAGAATGAGGACGTTTCTAATGAAGATGTCGAGGAAAGCGAAGAAGACGAAAATGTCCAGGAATATGAAGATGATAAAGGTCAGGAGGATGAAGGTGAAGCTGGTGAAACCTTGGTTAACCTTGATGAAGAAGAGTACATCGAGTTGCAAAGACCTGAATGGACAGAGGAAAAGGTTCACAACCAGGAATCTGACTCTGACTGTGAATCTAAAAGCACTAATGTAACCTCTCTGGACGATTCACTAGTGGCCACATCAAGTCAACAACAGTTAAATGTTGACCAACTAATTAGTAAAAATACAGCGGAATTGACTTTGACTGACAATACAAGTGATCTTGATGACAAAACTGATTTATCAAGTACCCATGGTTTAGATGAAGAGATTGGAGAGGATACGGTTGATTCTGGTCCCGTTTCAAATGACTATAATGAGGAGACTGTTGGTCTGTTAAGTGAACAATCTGAGCTTGGACACAATATTACAAATACTTTGGATAACGATCAATTGATTAAAGATAAACTAGAGATTCAAACGAAAGCAATTCTAATCAATTTGACTGATCCCTTGGCTGGTAAGAGAGATGACCAAATGAGCCTTGTGACCAAGCATTCAACCCAACTTTACCGACATGCCAATTATTCTGGAATATCTTCGTACACAGCTTCCACTACTTCAACCTCAAGCTCAAACAAAACACAACAAGTAATTTCATCGGTAACGAGCAAAGCCAAACGAGCTCGTAAAGCTGTGGTTAAACAAATGTTTAGCCTCCTTAAAAAAGCACCCAAACACTTCAAGTAATCATATGTTGTTGCCTTTTATAATTGATTATTTCACTTTCATTTATTTAATGTATTCCTTCACGTAATTATTTCCTCTTGTTCTTAATGTCAACATGATCATTTGTTTTTTTCATGCAATTTTTTCACTTTGATTATTTCTTTAATCCTCTTTACCTTTTGATTATGTTAACTAAACGATGGTGAACAAATAAATATTTGTATATTTAAAAATCAACTGAATACAAAATTAGCACAATATTAGTAACTCGATATAGACTAGCCTGGGTAACATTTACAGTGGTTAATATAAACAAAACAATTGGGTTCAAAGAGTAACTACTCTTTGGTTACTAGGATTACCTTTTCTGGACAACAATTTACAATAAAAAATAATAAGGTAAGGCAGAAACAAAATGAACTTAAATGCAAGTCGGTGTGTGTTCGGATGAAATATCCGATCCTTTTGGGGCGAAGAAAACAATTGCAGTATAAATATCATGTGGTTAAGAAGGTGGTTTATGGACGTGATCCATCGTCAAGAAATTATTTCATTATGTTGATGTCAACTAGATGAGTCGCTCGATTGGAGGTGGTCGGATGATGTAAGGTATGGTCACTTGATATTGTTCATAAGCTGATGGTGAGTAAACTCCTCTCATGGCTCGAGCTCGTTTTACTTTAATTAGAAACAGGATCAGCAGAATGATACAATAGACAATCAAAAGGATGAGCAGCAATAAGAAATCTTGTTTCAACACATCTGACATCATTTGCTTATTAGTTTCCTTGGTTTTAACAAGCTTTTAATCCATAAAATGTTCCATTTAGTGCTATCTCTACTTTAAGGTTTGTCTTGATTTTATCTGCTTTCATCTATGAATACACATTGAAACACCAAAATGGAGCACCGGAGCCTTGTGTAGACGAAACAGAGGGAAGAAAAAAGATATTAATCTTCTCATTGATTAATAATTGTCTCAGTTGATTACATGTAATTCATAGCATAAGAAACAATCTTTTGTAAACACCAATAGCAATTATTGTATCTTCAGTTGGAGGTTTCGACTGAGCAACACAGTTGGGCAAAAGGTTTCAGTTAAAACTGAGGTAGAATAATAAAAATGTTAAAAGGTTAATAAATAAAACAATTCAACTTACTTTAATTAAAAAATAAATCCTAATGCGATTGGAAAATCAATGGAAATAATTAACGGGAAAAACTTTTCTCACATGGTCTACAGTGACACCTATTGAACTCGCATAACATGATTCAATAAGTTGACTTTTGGAAGAAACTTAATTTAAAATTTAAATTATCTTCAGAATAATTGACTGTTCATTTTTGGACAGTAAAGAAACAGAATGTCTAAGAATCACCTTGATAAAACGCCAAGCAAAGAAAAGTTTATATTTTATCGATAAATTGATTATTACTATGGTTAAAATCATCCTTCGGATACATTCTTGAGTTATCACAATTGTGATTCATAATTGACGCTTAAGATATCGCCCTCTTTTGAGACTTTGTTAAACTATTTACGTGGCGACAATTAATTTTGCTCATTTGGACTGTGATTATGTTTTGAAAACTTATTTTTGTGGTCATAATGAGCACAAAACTTGTCGCATTGAGCCAGTTTTTAACTTGAATATCCCCCCAAGTTTACTAGTTACCTGGTAACCAAAAGCCTAGTCCAATCCGTTGGCTACCTTTTAAAAAGTTACTTTTTACCCAATCAAAACAATCTTTGGAGGGACCTTTTGTTTTTCCTTGTTTTGTTTGTCAATTTGTTTTTGTCTTCAATTTTGTTATGTTCTTAAATTAATTATTTTTATATTACTTTTAGCTTTTCATTCAATTGAAATCATGGACATCCCTGTTAAAAGAAAACTAAGAATTTTGCGTGAGGAGAATAAGGTAAGAATTGTTTTTCAAAGTTGTATCTTTAACTCTAAACTCATTTTTATGTTCTCGCCGGTTGTTGACTCAACTTTCTTGTAATCGTTAAATGATGTTTTTATGTGATTTAATTTGATTAAATTCTCATAAGTATAATACTTGAAGTATTATACTTTCTTTCGCTGGTAGCTTGTGTAGAGAATTGCAAAAAATTGTGCCCAATATTTTCCAAAATCTAAAACGTTTGTAACTTCTATCTCACAACTGTTCTAACTTTTTTCTTTTGAACTTTTTCCAACAAGTAGATAAGAGTGTTTGTAGACTCTGATGATTGTACGCTCCCATCCACACCCCCACTTCACCGACATGCCAATTATACTTCAACGTCAAGCTCAAACAAAACACAACAAGAAATTTCATCAGTAACGAGCAAAGCCAAACGAGCTCGTAAAAATGTGTTTAAACATATGTTTAGCCTCTTTAAAAAAGCACCCAAACACTTCACACCAAACTCCCGTGTTCAATCTTCCATCGACGCATTAAGTCGGAATATGAATGAAAGATTTGCTGCTTTAGAGGACCGACTTGACTCATTAACTTCTCTATCAAATCTAGTTGGCAGTTTTAACATCAATTCCTCAGATTATACCAATGGCTTTGGGGAAATTGGACCAGATTCACTAAAAAGAATCATCAAACAACAGAGACAGGTTTGTTTTCCCTCTCTTACACCTTAGCTAACTTTTCTCAACATCTAATTCCTAATTTTTCTATTATCCAAAAGGAGTTACAAAACGAACGTCAAGAATTTTTACTATCATTTGCCAATGCTTTGAAACTCGCTGCTGAATCGTCGACCCAAGGGGAAGCGTCTGTCTCTAAGACCAATGGTACTGGACATTGACGAAATTTCTTCAATAATTTAAAGAATCAACAAGATTTTTCTACAAGAAAATTTCATCGAATCGCCTTTCTTTAATTCGGCATTTAAAAAGATGCCTTCTGTATTTATCAACTCATCAATCACCTCAAATTAATTCAATTCCCGTCCAATCTACCATTCTGACTATAAGTCAGTCCATTTCCACTACGATCTCCAGGATTATTGATCAGAAAACCAGCGTATTTTAAATCTACTTTCAATAATCACCCTGAATCAAAAAAGTACAAATGATGCTAATAAATGTTCAAATAATCAAAAACACTACAACCTCAAAATAAAAACTGACCCTAAACAGTGCTTATTGACTGTCAGGCCCATTAATAATAATATGATTAATAAGTTAATAAGATTCAGGGGCCTCATAAGCAACTAATCTGGTCCATGACTATAAAAGATAAATCAATTCGGGTCAAAGGTTTTCACTAGAAACAGGTGAATTTAAACCAATTTAATTAACTGAAACCAGAATTTAACAATTTAATTCATCACAAACTGCACTGAGCTAGTTCATTTATCTGACCGGAGACTTGAACAAAATACAAGTTTGCTGTTGATTAAACTGAAGTAAAGTTGACTATTTAACTACTTAACTACTGTATTTAGTAATTTTAAGTGTAACATTATTCAGTTACTTTTAGTAAGATGTTGATTTGATTAGTTTTGATTAGTGAATAAACCTTTGTGATCCATTTTGATTTACAGACATTAATGCTTGAAAAAGGCCCTTCAAATGCATTGCAGCTACCATTTGAATCTTTAAGCATCTTAACAATCATCTGCTGTTAAGTAACAAAGATTATCAGTTGTCATTGAAAGCTTTCCCAGTGAGGAATCAAGTTGAACCTTGTTAACCGATGACGATTGAAAGTAAACATAAAATCAGATGCTTTGCTTTATTTACAAGGTTAATGAACTTACAAAATATGTTAATCATGAGGCAAAAGTGGAGTCAAAATTAGCAGAAATTAACCCAAAATAATGGTAAAATTTATAGCGAAATGTTTTCCTTTAACAATGTTTAACAGTTAACCAAGTTAAAAGAAACTGTTTTAGGAAAGCAAAATTCAACACAATCTAACCATCTAACTACATGGACCATTAATCAACATAATGAATAGATTATTGGTTCAAAGAGAAAGAGTTAACCCGGAAAATTAGCGTTTAAAATTTATGAGTTGAACCAATAAAGTGAAATTTTTGGGTTCCCAAAGCCAAGAATTGGGTTTTCATTGGGTTAGTCCTTGTAAAAACAAAACTGTTGAGATATGAAACGTAAACATTACAATTTTGATACAATAATGGCTCTTATTTTACATCATACATGTATTTACACTTACAATCATCTGATTGTTGGCTTACAGTTTAACAAATATTTAAAATTAAAACGAATGCAAAAAGAAAAAGAAAATTAATTAAAAACTTTATTTAAGTCAAGTTTATTTTAGGTTTGAAGAAGTGCTAAAGTCTCAAAAAACAAAAATTTTGCTTAAAATTTACAATAAAACACAATGCTATGTATTACAGGTTATTAACATTAGGATCTTAATCATCATGGTTGATTGTAGTTAATTGCACGTTTCTACGTGATTCAAGTAACCAAGACAATCAAATTTGAAGTCAATTTTGATTCACATTTGTTTATTTTGTAAAATGAAAACAATTTAAAAGTTCACACAAGGTAAAAATGAAATTTGAGTTCAATTTGTTTCATTCTAATAAAATACGTAACCAAATATATTCACTTTTTTCAGCTATTAACAGTAAATAGCAATTTAGTTTGATGATTATATTATTGGTATTAAGAAAGTAAACAATTAATATGCTGATAGTAGATTGGCATGTTAACGTTTAATGTTTATTATTGGTAGTCAACTTGAATAAGATACAGGTAAGAAAAGTGAATTGATTTGTTGCTTCCCTTAATTAACATTATTTGAAATAAAAATTAAGAAAAATGGCTTCAAGTGATTAGCTTCATTGGACTCAACAATTTTGTTAGGATAACCCAGGATAAATGGTGAAATAGATTAACAGGAATGATCAGGTGATTGGGTTAAGTGATTTTTCAATATTAACAATTTTCTAAAATGTTTGTATCAAAAAATATTTATAAATTTATTGTAACGCATCTAAATCACTATCAACATCACCATCAACATCATAATCATCATCATTGAAAAGGCCTTCAGCTAATTTCGTTCTTCACTGTTAAGCCTTTACTTTCCATGCTAAATAAGATTTTTGCTCATAATTAGCAGCTCGATTTGAACATTGAAGAGTTAAATTTTTGGCCTTTTCTTGTTCATAATGCTATATGGTTATCACAATTATCTCAATTAGTTGATCAATCTGTATTTTACAGACAAAGCCCTTCCCTGGCCTGATACACTAACCCATATTTGATCCTTTATTTTATTTAATACTTTGGCTTTTTGTTGTTGCTCCTGTTGTTTAACACTTCCCATTAAATGATTGATGTTAGTCAAATTAGATGATATGTCGATCATCGTCATTATTGATCAACAGTCTAACCAAAAACAATTTAACCTAATCAAAGATCGGTAACAATTTAGAAATGTAAAGGTAAAATTATTCAAATTGAAAGATGCGACAAGAGTAATCATGAGATAATTAATCAAATGATTTCCCATTATAATGTTTAATGCAAATTGTCCTTCATTTTGTCTTCAGGTTGTTTCGTATAATTATTAGATTAATGACTTTTGTAGGATAAATTTTAAATTGTCAGCGTTAATCAACATGATTGATCTTAATTTTGTAACCGCATCCGAGTGCATTTTAACCAAACATGACCATACATGCATATTTAAATGATTAACGATGATTTCTGTTTCTGCAGACAATCGATTTTTGTTTTCATCTTCTAAAAGGCTGAACTTTGAATATAAATGGCTTGAGAAAGTATTGAATCATCAAATCGATTGAATTATTGACTACACAGATTCAGTTAGTATGAAGACAGCAAATATTAATGGTAAGTCTCTTTCAATTGGTTTACTTGTTCATCAATATTTCCAGAATGGGCTTGAAAGAAACGCCATTGCACCGTTGCTGCCTCTTCCATTTGCCTTTGGTGTAATTAATTGACTTTGGTGTGATTATAATATTTGTACAGTTGATCAGTTTGATTATTAACGGCGTTAAACTTGTTTAAATAACTTTTGAAGACCAAAAAAGATTGGGTTGCAATCCAAAGGTGGACCAAAGGCTGTAGAGAGAGAAGGAAAAGCTTTTTCAATTTTCTTCAAAATAGAAACTAGGTGAGAGAAATAAAGATGATGGGATGACTGATGATAAGGATGATGAGGATGGCGAGAAGTATAAAATGTAGACCCACCCTGAATGCAAATTATCCGTGAAAAACAAATGCGCCTACTGAGAGGTTTGTTTGTAAAGTTATTATTCCATCTTCCTATTGCTTCGTTGTACTCCTTGATTCTTGTTGAACGCAACTATTTTGTATTATTTCCCTTCTTTAATTTTTCCAGTTGACATTTCATTGGAATGACTAAAGAGAAAAGGGAGAAAAGAAAGAAAATCGTTAGAAATGTTAACCAGAGGAAAAAAAAGGTTTTCAGTCGGGGAATGGATGGTAATGGTCTTACCATGATTGCGCTAAAGTGTCAAGGTGTATCCAAGATATTGAGTTACTCTGTGAAAGTTAAAACCGCTCAATTATATTCAACATACGCTCATATTTTTGCTGCTTGGTCTTTGATGGCTTAAAATTAAATAATACCCAAAACTAATTTTTACTGGTTACCACTGTACACAAAACATGACTATATTTACCTCACAATGTTTTTTCTTGTTTCCTCCTTTTCATCCTCATCATCTTTTTCTCTTTCTGTTCTTTCTTCTTGGGAAGGTAAGATGTTTGGAGAAAGAAAGAGAAACAAGATAAGTTGATGATGAAGTAAAAGAAGTTTAGCAGTAATTAAACGGTCTTTTCATCATTAGAAGATTATGGTTACAGGCTCATACATAATCAGCTAGATTGTAATAATAATAGGAATGACTCTCTTGAAAACAGGCTGGAAATGATGGTGAGGAGAAGGAGGATCATGATGTTGATGATAAAAGACCTTGAATGGTTCATTGATGGACACATGATAGTAACAGACCAGATTATCAATTGAATAGACTAAAGAGAAAGAAGGAAATAAAACAATAGTAACAAAAATTATAAATAATGACAATCAAAAGATGAGAAGAGGTTAAATTTTGAAAAAAAGTATTTACCAGGAATAGAATATTGTTTGAAGATAATGCATGAATGGAATTAGTATGCTGATCAATTTATAATCATTATTGCTGGTGATAAAGCTGTATAAGACATCCAAGATAATACATATTGCCATCAAGGTAGACTATTGACCTGTTTGAATAGAGAAAAATATTTTATTAGAAGAATGGAACATAATTCTTGCTCAAAGTCAGACTCTATTTGCTATTCGTTTACTCAATTACTTAAATAATTATTTCATTAATAATCTTAAAATAAAGGTAAATCACAAAAAAGTATTGAAATGAGGAAAGGAAAAAATATTAAACGGAACGAGAATCGGATAAAACAAAGAAAGGTTAAGCATGGTGGGATAAACGGCAGAGTATAAAGTTATACTCGGCAAGGTTAGGAAGAAGGTAATAAAAAGAGGAACCTACTTAAATTTTTTTATCAGGCAAGGCGGGAGAAGATCATAAATCTATGAAAGAAAGTGTGTGAGATAAAAAGAAAGAGATGATGAGGGGAGACAGAGAAGATGATGAGAAAAAGAGAGTTGAACATAAAGAAGTTGATAGAACCTAATCTATTTTGCCAAAAAAACACAAAAAAGACAAAGAAATTGAAAATGTTGCTTCTCCATTACCATTTAGCAGGTTTCTCAGTTTCTATTGTATCAGGCCCAATCTGTAAAAGGTTTCACACTGATATGTGCGTTTCAATAAACTCTAGCTTGATATCGCCATCAAAAGTCACTCAGCTTTAGCATCAATTTGTTTTGTTTGACCATTCAAATTCAGCAAACGTACTTGAAACGCGTCATATTAGCCTTTTAACACACTTTTCTGTAACCATTAAGATAATATCTTTTGTCCATCCCACAGTCACAAGTCACTCTTGGAAATCGAGGTGCCATATCATAAGACGCTCATTTAAACCTTGAAAAGATGAAAAAAACTTTTATTCAAAACAAGAATCAATGTTGAAATGTTATTGAATCTTCAGTTGATATCATTGATTTTAAATTAATTAGCGTTTTATAAAGTCTACTTTTGTCGCAAACGCATAGACAACATTGCTCTGTGGCTGGAGGAAAAGATTGTATAAGTTGTTAACCAATGAATATGATATAATGTAATATAACCATGAACAAAGACTGTGTAGTTCAAGCTATTCAAGTTGGTTCTGGTTGGAAGCGAAGAAAATCATATTTTTTCATACCTTGTTGCTTGATTTTATCCATTCCACTCAATATTTTAAAGAATGTGTTGTAATACTCTTGCAGGATAATTTCAGTAATCAGATAAAATAAAAAAGGTAGATTAATAAACGAGGTTAGAGATGTGCGATAATATCAAAATGGTCGATTATTACCGATTATTTTTGTGAAAATTGCGTCATTATCGATAATAGTTTTTCAGGAACATGTTTGAGTCAAACTCAGGTTTGTTTTGTTGGGGCGCCACTTGTATGGAGTGAGCGAGCTTTCCTGGTGTTTTGATCAAAGAGTAACGTTTAGACTCTCTCTTTCTCTCTTTTATATTTTGCATGTATTCCTTATTCATGTTTTGATCCTAAAAATTCAAGTAACAAGATAAATTAACTGTCCATTTACGGATTACACCAAATTGTGTGACTTTTGTGATTATTGGAGAGGGAAAAGCTATCAAGGTAATGTATTTTCCTATCTCTTTTTTTCTGGTTTTTTACTTAATTCTCACTTACATTGGAGATAGAGAAAGTTTACCAAAGAGTAGGATAACTCTAATAACTTTACTCTACTCTTTGAAGTTTAATACTCCATTTTTTTGCTCCTTTTCTAACTAACTTTGCTCTCCCTCTCTCTCTCTCTTCAACTTTTCTTCTTGCTTTGGAATATTCATATGTATATAAATATATCACCCTCTTTGGTTGTACTCTGTTGAGTTTGTTTTTATTACCTTTTTCCTCTCTCCTTCTCTTATCGTTATTTTAGAATATATTGGGTAATAGGAAGAAAGTGATGAAAAATAACTTTATTTGAAAAGCGAACGCGACCAAAACAACATAAATTGCTCCTGTGGAGGAGATAAAGAGGATGATCACCACATCAACCCTTGTTGAAACGGTTTCGATTGATTATGAAGATTTTACTGAAGGTTTCCTCACCTGTGGTACCTGTTTAAATACTTATGATGGTGATCAACACACGCCTAAACTGTTAACATGTAGCCATACTTTGTGTAAAATGTGCTTGGAATCTATCTGTAGTCAACCCGGAGTACCAGAGATTGGCTCATTTAGGTGTCCAATCTGTCGTGAACTAATCCATCTGCCCAGAGAAGGTGTTATAAATTTTCCTCCCTCATTTCTGGTTAACCAGTTACTCGATCTGGTTAATCGTCAAAGGAGAGAGGTTATACCAAAGTGTTCCAGCCATGTGACCCAAGAGCTTCTCTTTTGTGAAACTTGTGACATTGTTTTCTGTCTACTTTGTAATAATGGATCTCATTCAACAATCAACTGTAAACATACTGTAAGTTAACAAGATTCTGAAACAATTTGACCGCTACCATATCCTTCATTATCTTATTTTCAAAGAGGCTTCTCTCTTACAGAATTACTTTTTCTTCAAGCCCGCCAAGAAAGAGGATACGAGATTAAGAAAATTAACCGAATCTTATTTTACAAACTGTTGAGATAACTAAAATAGATACAATGTAGTCTTAATTTTATTAGATCTGAATTTAAAGGAAAGCACTTGGCTAGTTCTAGAATTTCTTATCAAATTCGTTTTGAAAATGGCAATTATCCACTTCTTCTTTATCCATAAATTAATCCTTAACCTTCAACATGATTTCTAGATTAAAATTCATCTAAGATTTTATAATCCCATACTATTAGATGTCACAAAGTAAATTTTGCTTGAGAATTATTGGGTAGAAATGAAGACTATTTAGAATCACATTTGATGACGAAGTGAAAAAAGCTCCGAAAAAGTCAATATCCGTGATATGATTCCTACTCTTTTCTCAAAAATGTCTACCAGTCGGTAAAAATTCTTTGAAAATCTGGACTCTTTGATTATGAAGCGTGAAAAGGAATGAAAGAAAAGGTCCGCGTGATGAGGGAAGATGAAGTTATGTAGACATTTTTGCAGTGTGAGAATCCAGATGAAGTAATGTTGGAATAATTCTAGTTCAATCGTGAAAGGGTTCTTTGATCTTGTTGCTCCTTCTCTCTCTCTTCCTTTCTTCCTTTTTACCTCACTACCTTGCAGTTATTTCCTCTTTATTATTTTTATCTCTCACACACAAAAATTTCTGCTTCTTCTGCTTAAACCTCAACTTATTCATTCTCTTTGTTTTCTCAATTTTGTTTGCTCATCATCTTTTCTCACTAATCTTTCTCCTTCTCTCACTCAATTTCAATCTGTTGATCTTACTCATTCTTGTTCTTTACCTTTTCATCTTTTTATCTTTTTCCCCTCTTGATATTGCAGGTAATAGGTAATACCCTTTGCATTTGCAATTAAACGTATGTCCGAAATATTGATGTACAAAGCACGCCAATGCATTGCCAAATATAATGAAGCCCATGAAAACGTAACAACTGAGATCCATAAGCTTGATGAAAATGCTGAACAAGCATTTGAGGATATAAACCGTACATTTCAAGAGATTATTAATTTGGTTGAAAGGAGACGTCAAGATGTTCTTTCAATTGCGAAAAAAATGAAACAAGACAAAGTTAACATCTTAGAAAATCAATTGAGATTGATTGAAGGAGAAAAGGCTAAAATTGAAGCTGAATGTGATGATTATTCGCATCAAGTGGACCTGCGAAATATAACTAAAAAAATTGAAGAGCTTAATGACAAAATTGACTCCATCAATGGTTTACTGGAACCAAGAGAGAATTGTTTCATTCGTTATGAACATCTTCACAATTCAGCTGTAAATTCAATCCAAACTGCAGTCAACTCCTTTGGTACCGTTCGATCAAGTAAAACATTCCCGCCTCTCTGTGAAGCCAACATAGGTAAATGTGTTGCCAAGCTTCGTACTTCTGCCAATATAATTACCTACGATTATGCTGGTTCAAGGCAAAGGTTTGGAGGAGATCCGGTTACAGCAGAGCTTCGTTGTCTTGCCGATGAATCAAATGTTCCAGTTAAAATTGTGGACAAAAATGATGGTACTTATGAAGCTCAGTTTATAGCACCTAAAGGAGGAAAACATTGCCTTCTTGTATCAATTTTTGGCCGTCCAATCAAAACTTATCCTCTTGAATTTGAGGCAACTCTTCAAATAAATCCAATCTGTATCTATGGATCCAGAGGCAATGAGCAGCACGCTTTCCTCCAACCAGTGGCAATTGCCATTAGTGAGACAAATGATCAAATTTATGTTTTAGATACAGGAAACTGTCGAGTCAAAATACTGTCCCAAAATGATTGTAATAATTCACCCTTTACTTGTGTCTCCCACATTGATGGCCTGGATCGTTCGGTTACCGGTATGGCCCTGGTTCCCGAATCGGGTACAATTCTAGTCAGTAATTGGTCTACCCGTACAATAAGTGAACTCACTGATACTGGTAAAGTTTTACGGTACTTTAGTCACCGTGATCTTCGTGAGCCAACCCATTTATGTGTCAATAGTCAGCGTGAAATTATTGTCGCTGACAATGGTGCCCAAGCAGTTTTCATTTTTCATCCGTGTGGTAAAGTCAATCGAAGATTGGTAAACAGTGCAAATGGAACCAGCAAAGCTGGTGGAATGTCTAACATTGGAAGTGGAAACGGTAAAGGTTTCGGTGTTATTGGAGCTATTACCTTGGGACCTGACGATGAGATTATTGTTGCCGAGTCAAGGATTAAAATTTACTCAAAAGATGGATCAACTTTATTACGTGAGATTGTCTCAGATTCTTGTGGTAAAGGTGATTCTTATGGTGGACTGTGTTATGATAAAAAGGGCCACCTTTTAGCAACCAAATCGGAACGAGGCAAAGTTTATGTGCAAGTGTATGATTATTATTCTGGTCATTTAAAGTTAACAATTGACAGCATGGATGCTAAACTAAAAAGAGCCAGTGGATTAGCAACAACTAATGATTATCATGTAATTGTAGTCGATCTCGGTAATGATTGCATAAAAAAATATCGATACCATTGATATGTTTATGATGGCTCATGAATCGAGCAAGATTGACAGATAAAGAAACACAACAGACTTCATTCAACTAGCACAATTGCTTAATCCTGTCATCAATGCCACCGGTATTAATCTGTTTCTTAACTCTCATTACCATTACCATTCGCACATCCATCATCATCCAAACGACGTATTACTTATCGCCTCTTTTTTGCATTTTTTCATTGTCATCATTTTCAACATCAAATTAGGAATCTTTCGCGAATTCCCATAAACATCTGAAACAACAAATTAAAATATCAACATATACGCATTAAAATTTAATGAATTGATTAAATTAATTATAAATAAAAAATATTGAATATCAAAATTATACAAACAATTTTTATTACTCAAAAAACAATTAAGGAACTTCAAATTGACTGATTAAGTTCACTGCCAATGGTAGCTGCTCTTCACGTACCAAATCCGTTCATATCATAGTCGCCATCTATTAGTATCAGAAAATAGCTCAACGGTCGAGCTTTATTTTCATAAAGTGTCTCCAAAACAAAAAATACCAAAGATGGCGACACTAGAAAGGTGGCGTGTTTTTTATGCTGTAAATTTTAATTGGATCTAGTTCAACTTGATAAGTTTTTTATGCTTGTGTTTGAAGAGTAGCTTTGAAATTTAGACGTATTTTATTTCACTAGTTAAGATCTCACTTTATTATAGAATAGATTCCCCTATTAACATCAGAAAAACTTGTTCATTTTTTTCTGCGATTATCGGTTTAAAATTTTCAAAACCAATGTTTCTTTCGGATCTGCTTTGTCTTATACTGCGCATTTTTGCTACAAAAAATGAGACAAAAAGCAATACACACTCTCCTTTGTCCTTCAACAAAGCTCATTATCCTAATCACACTCGATTGGCAAGCGTACTCTCGTTCAATTTTTCGATAAGAGTTAAAATTAGGTACATAGGATACTGTAAATTTTGCGGCGAAAGCGTTCGAGTGAGTTTCGACCTCACTTCATATATTGCGAATTTCATATAAAGTAATTTGGTGACATTTCCTTCTCAGGTACAGCCACGATGCAGCTAATATAAAGTCAACTCTGAAGATACAATTTTTTCTGATGATTTGAATCGCTTGAAGGCAATGACCCTCCTGCTTTGCAGCCTTCTAAACTAATTCGGACATCCGCAACACCGAAAATACTAACTTTAAAAGAGGTTTGGTAAATGCAGTAAATCATTTGGGTGTAGTTCCTAGACTCTGTAGGAATTCGCCTCGAAGCCATGCTTCAGATTTCGCTCCAAGTGAGCCGATACTGGAAAATTGACCAATCATTAGCCAATTAGTTGAACGTTCTCACAAGTTGCATGATTTGATAAAATTTCTCTTGATTTCATGTGAACAAATATTGCAAATCAGCGCCAGTATGCCGTCATGAAATAAAGTGTTAATTATGATAGAAGCAAAGTTTTATGATTAACATTCAAAGAGGGTTACTCTTTTGTGGCATGGAACAAACCTACCAGGGGTTATCCAATGATAAACACTTTGGCTTTGACATATTTCTTCAATAGTTCACACCAAGGATCAACTGCTTTACTCTTATATGATCTTAAATATAAAATCAAATCTGTCTGAAGCTTAGTTGGAGACTTATTTCTTAGTTTCTCATTTTCTTAAAAAGGGGAAATAGTGAAAGCCATCATGAGCATTCAGAGCTCACTACATTTCGTTTGTGCAAACGCGCCATAGCATGAACCAACTGACACAACTATATCATGATATTGACAAAGTGGAATTCATCGTTATGGGAGGAACATTCATGCCTCTACCTGAGAGTAGTATTCCGTCAGTGATTTGTATGATGCCCTATCTGAAAATACTAGCTCATCAGTCTCTTAAGCAGTTAAATTTAGTAAAAAAAAAATCTCAGACAAAGTGCAGTGGTATAACTGCGGAAACAAGACCAGATTACTGTTTCAATCGTCATCTAAGTTATATGTTGTCTTATCGATGTAAAAAACTTGATACTAATAAAGGACACACTGTTAGAGCTGTTAAAGATAATGCGATGCGTTGCCAATGCGTTGCCAATGCGTTGATGATGCGGTTTCAAAGTTCTAACCGTTTAAAAATATTGTCTCACAAGTATTATTACTCATTATGTCAGTGCGTTGCAGACCCCAATCGAGTTCCCATGTTATCGTCGCCCATCACTTGGGAGGATGGTTTGAGATGGATAAAGATCTATTCTCCTCTGTCGCGACATTGTTCACCCCAATACTCACATCATTTCCTGAGGTCAAAAGGGTTTTAGTCCACGACACCGTTTATCCTTCAGTTTTTGTGGTCTTTAAAGGCATGTTGCGTGGAGATGAAGTGGATGTTGAACCGCAAGATTTAAAGGCATTGACTAACCATTGTTTTTCATTAATTTTGTATTTGATTTCTGTTTGCAGTTTACACTTCTTATGTGTCCAAAGATACTTCATGTCAGGAGTTTAAGTTGTATGAAAAAGAAGGTCTGGTGAAAAGCTACAATTATCATAATATAAAATTTTCACACGGAGATTTCAGAAAGAAACTCATCTGTGTTGGTCCAAACAATAAGACTTTTCAAGTCAAAAGAAAGAAAATGATAAATTTATATACTTTGAAATTCAAAACATTCGAGCGATATGCAGGAGACATAAATTATGTTTTCCTTCCTGCAAATATATCGGAATTCACTTTTGATCAATTTCAGTCTCTTGTTTTAAATGAAATGTGCACCATCCTCATGGAAAAATTCAAGAACGAGTTGAAGAGCATCGGGCTTTCTATTGAAGTCAGTGATCTTATTGGTGCACAGCACAAACATCAATATGGAGTTGAAGCCAGGAAAACCAATCCAAGAAGGTTAAATCTAAATCTTTTGTTTACATTTGTGCTTTAATCCTGACTATGCCACCAATCCGGCCGCAGCCACGGAAGAACCAGTTTTGGAAATCACGCGATTGGATGTGAATGATGAACAACCAGAATCAGAACCAGAGACAGAGTCGGAGTCAGAGTCAGAGCCAGAGCCTCCATTTAATTTAAATATTGTAAAAGATAATTTGATAATTTTCATAAACCAATTCATTTACATGTCAATTTGTCATTTTTTCATAATTTTGTTCCCTTATAATCATAATAAAATTTGAGTCATTTAAACACCTTTCGTTTGTCGATTTTCTCAAATGTTTTAGTTCGCTTAGTTTTATGTTTAGTTTTGTCTTCAGATTACGACTTTCAGTTCTAAATTAACTTCAACCCATCAAATGCACGTCTCATACAAAGCTTACAACTAAATAGGTTTGTACTCGTAGATTTTTGTGAGTGATGCTGTGTGAAAGATGCTGAAATAAGTGTCGAGTATCATTCAGCAACACGTTGGGGCACTGTTTTCACAATAAAACGTTTTTTAGCACAGAGAAAAAAGTTGGAAAATTTTGTTGTTAGACTAATCTAATCAAAAAGAACTGAAAGGTTTACTTAAAAATCAGAAATTAAGATAAAAATCATGTTGTCTCTTGAGGAGCAGTGTATTAAGGAAAATTGAAAATTATGGATTCGCTGCCCGACAAATAGTGTAAATAAGCTATTTTGCGAGTAATGCAGTCTCTGAGATGCGACTCTCTTTTTATTAATTACGCTTGTTTTGCTCATTGAATAGCCATTGCTTTGTACATAAGCTATTTCACGGGAGTGACATCATCTGGCACTTTACTGTGTTTGAAAAATAAGCACAAACTCAATTTTCGTAGCTGTATTGTTGAATTGTTAAAACAAACCATTGAATTGATATAAAGGAGATTTTTGGACATGCGTGTAAATGGATTTTTGGATTATTAATCTAGTTAATCTTTTATTGAAAAACCTTACTAAGACAGCGTCAAGTAAGTATATTTGGGTGATTATCATTTAAATCATACCTCTTGTCCATCAAGGGAACTTTGTTGTCAATGTTACTCTTTAAATCACCTAATATCTTATTTTCAATTGCTCATCCTCCCTATCATCATCATCACTACAAGCTAAACAAGCAGTTTACATCATCACCATTTATGATTTGAGATCTCAGTTTACTCCATCTTTTTTTAGCAAACCTCTTTGTAACTTTATATATTTTTAAATGTGATTTTCTATTTGGTTTCTTCCTGAATTAGTTTAACAAACTGAAAGAAAAATCCATCATCCATCTATTCACATCTTGATATAGAAGAAAATGGAAGGGTCCAAGATGGAAGAGCAAATAATAACGGATCAAACCTTACAACCTATTGTTATTGAGTGGATGATTAAACTTCAGCAAGGAATATTGACTGCTACCGATATTCGTTCTTACTGGGCTCGCACAGTTCCTAAAATCTATAGTCCATCTCGAGATTGTAACTGTTTAAATATTCAATTTGATGAAGAGAAAGCAAAATCGACTCTTCTTTTACCCTTGGAACAATTCTTGACTTTAAGTGATAATCCCAAAGAAGTATGTGAAAACCTCAAAAAAACTGATGCCGATCCGATGCTTTGTGGTAAAATGTTCAAAAATGGGGAACCAGTCTACTCTTGTCGGGACTGTGGGCTTGATGCTTCCTGTGTCCTTTGCGTGGACTGTTTTAAACGAAGGTAAGTAACAGCATTGGTTTGTGAACCTTCATCATTCTTTTTCTATATCACCCATTGGCTTTTCCTAATGATTTCTTAAACTTGACTATATAAATAGAATGGTGAAGGACAAATACGTTACTGTCAACTCTTATATATTAATATTGATATCAGTATCAAAGAGAAAAAAATTTAGACTCATCCCTTTATTTCTATTTATCTTCAACAGCGCTCATCGTAATCATAAATACAAAATGTGTATGAGCTCAGGTGGAGGCTACTGTGACTGCGGGGATTCCGAAGCTTGGAGAGCACATGTCTTCTGTGATGAGCATCTTAAGGGAAGTCAAAAGGTAATTTCAAGGATGTCACAATTTCGATTGCAATTTGATTGAAAAAATTGGATTAATATCACTAACATTGCTTTTCTATAAACATAGGCTGGTGAAGAGGAAGACCCAAAAAACAGGTTAAATCCTGATCTTGTTCGAAGAGCTGAAATCATCATGAAAACTGTGGTACATTATTGTTTTGAAATTTTAGAATGGGAAAATTCAACAGTCTTACCTGAAAGCTTACAAGTAAAATCAGCTCAATCAGAGCCTGGATCAGAAGATTATGCTACGATGCTTTTTAACGATGAAATTCATACATATGATCAAGTTATCCAAACATTGAATCGTGCAATTGAATGTTCTACAAAAGAAGCCATTGATTTTGCTACGACTATTGATCATGAGGGAAGAACAATTGTCAGATGTTCTAATTTCCAATCATGTTGCCATGTTAAGCAATTGATTGAAAAACACACTGGTAGAAGTGGTAGTAAATCTCTGAAATGTGATGTTATGTTAACAAGTGTCATTGCTCATCAAACATTTGCCATGAGGCTACTTTCCTGGCTTCAAAATATTTTGTCATATTGCGAAGGGTTTAGATCAATATTTGGCTCAATTATGATGCAAATGTATCCAGAAGAAGAGCCAGATCCGTTTGCAGGCTCTCTGCTGGAAGCAATTATGAAGACTGATGTTCGTCTTTGGAAAACTGCAAGAAACCAATGGCACCAACTTTTCATAATTGGCCTTTTAATGAATTCCGAAACAAAAAAACAATTTGCAAAAACATTTACACGAATCTATTCTTCTCTTATGAAAGACTTTATCAACGATGATCATGAACATGGTGTATCAATAGCAAGCCTGGCTGTTCAAATTTTCACGGTGCCAACTTTAGCTCACAGTCTTATTGCCGAGGATGACGCATTTAATATCCTAATTTCAACGTTTTTACATGAATGTGTTAAACACCGTAATACTGAGGGCAAACTTGCTTTTGAACGAAATCATGCAACAATCAACTCCTTCAAGCGAGTTCAGTTTATACTCTCAGATCTTAAATATCTTCTTTACATTAAACCTAAAGTATGGACCGATGAGTTAAGAAAAAGTTTTCTACATGGATTTCGTCGACTCATTGAGCTTTTGGGCTGGATGCAAGGAATGGATAGTGTTGTACGACAAATAGGAGCTCATGTTGAATTTGAGGCTGAATGGGAAACAGGTATTAATCTTCAACTCAAACTTGCTCCCATTTTATCATTGATCATTGAATGGTGTGGTTCTGATCTAAGTGTACTGGTCAAATCTCTCCGTATTTCTGTTCAAGACTTAAGTGACCGCATGAGTTTCATTCAATATGATGAATGGTCTTTATGCTCATATCGTGTTAAATGTATTCAATATGATGTTTCAACTAATCCTGTTACAATACATATACCATTATCCCGACTAGTCGCAGGTTTATTGCTTCATGTTACAATGACAGATTTAAATCCTAAAGATTTAATTAGACCTGCTGCTCGAGTTCTCATGGAACTACCTCTTCGCACTTTAGTTTTAATAGCTCAATTTAGGGCTGGTATGTGGCGAAGAAACGGTTTCTCTTTGGTGAATCAAGTTTATTTTTATCACAATACTCGTTTAAGAGATGAAATGTACGATCGTGATATCATGATGTTACAATTTGCTGCTGCTTCAATGGATCCAAATGAATTTTTAGTTCTGGTTCTCCATAAGTTTGGTCTGATTTTCTGGGCCCAAGACTCATTTGAAACCAAAAGTCGTAAACCTGAAGAAGATTTTATGAGGCAAACTGTTACTATGGTGGAAGAGTTTCTCAATTTATTATTAATCATTGTTAGTGAACGATACACCCCAGGTATCGGTAAAGTTACTTTTCAAGAACGCATGAGACGAGAAATAATACATTGGTTGTGCATGGAGCCGATGACCCACAGTGATCTTTTAAAATGCTTACCCCGTGAACTTTATGATGAGGTTGAAATTGAGAAGTTAATATTGGATGTTGCCAGTTTCAAGCGACCCTCACCAAACCAAGCTGGGGGCAAATATGAACTTAAAGAAGAATGTTATTCGTATTTCAATCCCTTCTTTTATCATTACTCACGTCAAGAACAAAGTACCGCTGAAGAGGTTCAGCTTAAGCGTAGACGTACCAATCGTGAAAAGCTTATTTGCTGTCCTCCACCAGTTCCTCCGGATTTCGCCCCATTCTATACTCCAATTTTGAAGATTCTTCAAAGTGATATATTTCTTCATGTTATTAATTCAGTTTTGGTTCGGGCTACATCATCATACTCACTTTCATTCTCAGAGACTCAATTCGAGAAAACTTTACACTTAATCGGTGTAGCTTTACATGAAGAGAGCAAATCATTGGAACAAGCACCTCAAAATGACATGGAAGGTCAAATCAGATTTACTGAACTTGCCGTTTCCAAAGGCATTTTAACGGGATTGCAAGCTTGTTTAGAAGTTTCTCGAATTGATTCACACCGAGATCTACTTTTGTGGACTCTTAAAAAATTTTCTGATGTTGCCAAATTACGAGGAACAGAACTACCTCAAACTTCAACCATGATGTCAGCTGTTTCGGAGATGGAAGATGAAAAGCCTCGATCTAAAGAGTCATCTAAAGCAAAGATTGCCGCTCAAAGAAGAGCCAGAATCATGGCACAAATGAAAGATATGCAAAAAAATTTTATCAAAGGTCATGCTGAATATTTTAAAGATAAAGATTCATGTTCCACATCTGGTGGATCTCTTATGGATTTGTCAAATGCTGAAGATGAATCTAGAGAACTACCTAGACAACCCTGTGCAGTTGGAATGAACCAACGAGGAAAAGAGATTCCAGAAGAAAGTCATATCTGTATCCTATGTCGTGAGGAACAAGCTATCGAAGTCTCTGGCCGCTGCATGGTTTTGGCTGCTTTTGTTCAAGGATCCACTGTTTTATCAAAGAATCGTGAACGTGATGTCAACGAGGAAAACTTTCTGCCGTTTATGCCCGCTGATCTCTACTTTGGCTGTCATGTTTCAACTTGTGGTCATGTAATGCACAGCGATTGCTGGCAAAAATTTTTCGATGCAGTGCTTAGTAAAGAAAGAAGAAGACCTTTGCGTTATGGTCGGCATGTCAGCTTCGATGTTGATAAAAGTGAATTTCTTTGTCCTCTTTGTGAATGCCTCAGTAATGCTGTGATACCTTTGATACCACCTTCTATCTACCGTGAAACTGATTCGGAACCCTATGTCCGAGATATCAACCTTTCCGATTGGATTACTAGTTTACTAGGTCTAATTGAGAAAATATCACTCAACAAAATTGGCTCTGGTTTGTTATTATTTTTCATTAATTTAATCTTTATTTTTTATCTTTGACTAATTGTAATTTATATTTCAGGTCAACCAGATGGTTGTCGTATTTCTACACTAGCTGAACTCAGTACTCGTCCTAGTGAAGGGGCTTACGCTGCATCTTTAACCACTGCTTTTATAGAAATCTCGAAAAAACTTTCTGACGATATCAAATCAATGATGAGACTTTTAAACCAATCAATTAATAATGTAAATTAATTAATTTGTTTTGTATTTTTCAATATTAATTCATATTCTCCTTTTCATCTTCTCTTTAGATATTTCGTCATCGTTCCGATTTTATTCAAGAAGACATGATACCAAACCATGCTTATTGGGCAGCGGCCTTTACAATTCACTCAATTGAACGAGTTCTACGTGACGAGAAGAAATCTATTTTCGGTGATTTATCCTCTAGAAGATATAATTGTCTTCAAGCTCTAGTCAGATATGTGGGAGTAATTACCGTAGAAGATGATTCGGGTTGTATAGGAATACATTGTGCTCGTCTTTTAAGATATCTTCTTGTTTATGAAGATTATATCCTCAATCCCAGTTGTTTAGACGTTGATGCTTTTGGCCTATTGTTAACCCTAATATTAACCAGCCCGTCTCTTCATTTACCCGAAGAAGAAGTTTATACAACCCCTTCTATACCTAATGGAAGTGTATCAGACCAGCATTTCATCAACCTTATGACTGTCTTCCACTGTGTACAAGTAAGTATTGCTTATTTTCGCTTATTTTTAGTTTATTCTACAATTATAAAATTGTCTTTTCTTTTCTTTTTTAGATTATTCTCACAGACAAAGATTTCCTTGAAGAATGTAGTAGTAGTAGTGATAGTTTTAGTGACCCAATGGAAATTGATGATCCCAAAGATTCTGAAAGTGAGACAGAACTTAAGTTTGTTCATGAATTTTATACCAGCATATTGGTAGCTGCTGGAGTAGATCTTGAAAAAGGTGAAAAGATCAAGGAATATAATAAGGGTCGTACAGAACGGATAATCAAAATGCTGAGAGCCCAATTGCTTCCATTTTTAAGATGCACCGCAGTCTTTTTTCACTTTTTAACCGGAGTTGTTCCTCCAGCTAGATTAAAAGAAGGTGGCAGCCAATCATTGCCCAGTTCGGATGTTGAATATACGTTACTTTGTGAATACCTGGGCATGTCGCCTAAATTTTCATTATCATTTGGTTGCCAGTCTTTACGTCAACTTTCCCGTATTTGGTCTCAACATCCAAGAATTCGAATTTTACTCAGTGAAAAACCTGAGAATCTACTTTTGCCAGCAAATCTCCCGCTTAAGCTCATTAAGCAGCCTCATTCTGTTAATCAATTGTCAAGTTTACCCAAAGACTACAGTGAATTAATAAACAGTGTCTCCCAATTTATCTGTCCCAACTCGGAAAGTGATGAAGCTCGTACGCCTACAATGTGCCTTGTTTGTGGCACTATACTCTGCTCTCAAAGCTACTGCTGTCAAACTGAAGTTGACGGGCAAATGGTTGGAGCTTGTACCTTTCATGCTCTTGATTGTGGTGCAGGTATCGGAATATTTCTTCGTATCCGTGATTGTAAGATACTCCTTCTTGCCGGACGAGCTAAAGGTAAACCATCTTGTACTTATACTTTCTATTTTCAATGAAATTTACTCGATATAAATATCTTTGATTTTTCATTTTGCCAAATTTTCTTTACTAAATTTTTGAATTTGTTCATTTTTCAGGTACTTACATGTCTGCCCCTTACATAGATGCATATGGAGAAACAGATCAAGGTTTATTCAGGGGCAATCCTCTATCTCTGTGCGAATCTTCCTACAAGCAGCTACACAGATTATGGTTAAGACATGGTATTCCAGAAGAAATAGCTCATTCCCTGGAATTGCATAGTAACATGGCAACCATCAATTGGATTCTGCTCTGAGTTAAAAGTCCACAAATGATCAAAATATCGATGATGACAGACTTTAATTTTCAACTTTATGAAGAAGAAATATCCAACATCCAGCGTACATCAGTCTATCTCACAGACCCTCTTCTTTTTCTTCTCTCCTATTTTTTTTATTACTACAGAATTTGAGTCTGTAAAAGCTTATTCTGATGTGATTTCCATGGAATTAAATGTTGAATGAACCATGAATGATAATCATTCTTTGTCGAATGAAATCAGAAAAAAACAAGGCGAAATCATTCTTTTCATCCAATAAAAGGGCGAGGCAACGTCAAAATTTTATATCTCATCATCATTACAGTAGAAGTTGAAATTTAAATTATCTTTCAGCCAATCCCTATTAACTCCACAAATAAATGCACCCAATTTTATTCTAATACTCAATATTTATACAGAAAAACAAAATAATATTGAAAACAAACCTAAAACTGATTAAAACATTTCTAGTTTCCAACTGATTAATAAAATCGGTCACACAATGAACACAAACAAACCATTAAATGAAGGCAATACTTTTGTTAATTTTAGCTTAAATCTGCTCAAATTGAATGAAATAATGAAATAACTTAATATTCAAACAGTGTTAATCTTATTAATACAAGTCAAAATTGATTAATTAAATCACATAAAAATCATTGAACAATTGATTTTATTTTCAACTTAAATATGCTTGAAATGTTTAATCAACAAACTTAAATATCTATTGAACTAACGGTTGAAATTGAAATGAAATTTAATGCTGGCACAGAGTAGAGATAAAAAAAGTCAAAGCAAAATGGATGAAAGAAAAGGAAAAATTTGCATTTGAATTTGCATAATTTAAGCATGATCATGATTAATTCAACTCTTTTCATCCATCAGCTTTGAAATTTATTAATCGTCAAACTGGTTAAAAAAACTCGAACCATTCAACTCAGTCAATTATAAACAGTCAACTGAACAAATTATGATCAATCGTCATTATCATTGTTAAAAATTAGCAAAATTAAAACTCGCGACTCACTGACTCAACACACATCAATAAATTGATCCCAATTCAAATGATTACCCAAAAAGTTAAAATACTAAACCAGAAAAAACTGAAGACAAATAAAATTCCAGTTTGAACAAATAAACCTTAACATTTCAAGCCTAATCTAATAACAATAAATGACAAAAGAAGACTAAAAATGAAATAATTAAAATCTGTAACCAAATCTAGAGCTAAATTAAAAAGCAAATTAAAACTGAAGCCCAAAAAAATCAAACCTGAAATGCAAACCAAAGTCAAACTGACTTGTCCAGCTGAAAAAAAATCTGGTAAAAGTCAGGCTTTATGATTGTTTTTGCTCTCAAAATTATCGATTTAATTTGCCATTTGTTAAATTATGGTTGGATAAGAGATTTAATTAAATAATGTTTAAAAGAGGCTAAAATATTTAAACATTTTTTACCTTCAATCTCGATTATTTGGACTGTTAAATTGCGCTTGAGTCGATTGAAAGATTGATTACAATTTTTCTGGTAAAATTAGGGAAACCTTTTTTGTTCATCTTTTAAACTTTAATTTTGAGCCAGTTTTTTTTATCTGCCAACACTTTTCCATACTTTCATGTTATTCAGCAACTTTTATCCTGTAAACTTGAATAATGAGACAATTTTTATAATATAAATTATCATTATCATTATTACAATTTTTACCAATTTTAATAGTTTTAATCTATTCTTTTAACTCATCTTTTTTTACCCTTTTTCTGTATGTGACTTTGTTAATGTTCATTGAAGCCTAACTATTGATTATTACAACTACTGCTATTTGCTCCATCTAATTGGCTTAATTACAATTTTCTGTGCTAAAAGATTATGTTAACTTATCAACATTAATTTCTAATTATATCATCATCATAATCATCCTCACAACCCTTAACTATACAATTATCATTATTAAATGAAACTCCGAGTAAAAATTTGTTCAACAATCAAAAGCAAGAAGCAAAAAAGACCGAGACTTGAAACTGTTAATGTAACCCGATGAAAATGTTTAATTTAAAGTAAATTTTTTTCTTCCTTTCACTTGCAACTGATTATATTTTCAAATTAACACAGAGACACGAACTGGGTTCAGATAATTTTAAACTGAATCATTAATGATGAATCACATTAATGAATGAACACACAGGCGAAATGTGAAAGGCCAACAAAAAGAAGTAAAATAAAGGATAAGAAGAAAAGGGAAAAGCATTTAATCAAGTTGAACAGAAATTGAATTGAATAGACTTTCATGGTTTTCATGACGAAACCTGGAATAACTATTTTCATGGGAAAGAGAAGAGAAGAGAAGAAAAAAATTATTCGATTTACATGAAGAAATAGGTTGAGCAAGAAAATTTAAAATGTTGATGAAAAAGATGAAAGTTTTCTGGTTGAGAGTAAAAAATTGACAAGAATGGTTATAGGTTAATGGATGAAAAATATGTGACTTTCTTGACTGTGATGATCAAGATGAAGATGAGGAAGAAAAGTGAGAAAATTTTGTAAATTTTGGTTCAAGTGCTGATATGATGGAGTGGAAATGAGTTGGTGGGTTGAATGGTTAAGAAGAGAGATGATGATGAGGCTATTAGGAAGATCCAAAGGGTTGGATGATTTTAGTGAAAATATCGGATTAAATTGAGTTGACAGGGAATAAAATCGATGAGTTTTATATTCCAATGCAAATGAGAATGAGCAATCTTTTCCTCTTCTTTTTTTTCTCCTCCTCATCTTTCTCCTCTTTCCTCATCCAATTTTATCATCTTCATCTCAATACTTAATACAAGAAGAGAGAGAGAGAAAGTGGGAGTGAAAAAAAGGGTAAATATAAGGATAAATAAATATAAATGTTCATATAAAGCGACTTCATTTTTTGCCTTTGCTTTTAGACGAAACTCTTTTTTTTGCTGTTCCTCCATTTCAAGTTTCTGTGAATTCATTTTAAATTCAATCGATATTTTTTTCTCATTTCAATATATTTTCATTAAAATTTCTCTCTCAGTTATCATTTAATTATGATGATGTCAACAATCAATTGTTTTTTGCCATTTACTTTCCCTCAAAAAATGTTTAAATCGCAAACATTTTTCCCTTTTCACTCCCAGAGATTGAAAAACCTTTCAGCTATTAGCATTTGTATTATGATAGGAATAAGGTTGACAGGAATTGTCTCTTTTTACGCTTCCTTTTCTTACATTCACTGTGCTAGGCTTGAAACCCTTTATAGCCGTCAGGTAAACAATTTATTTTTTCATCTTCTTTTCAAATAACATTAATCTTTACAAATTTTTGTCAACTTTTTTGGTTCCTCTTCCCTTCACCATTCAAATTGTGAAAAACAATGATTTGTGCCTTTTGTTTTTGTCTTTTCATTCATTTTACAAGTAATAACTCAAAAGCCTCCAGTTATTGAACATCTCTTGTGATCATTTAGTTTCATCGTTTCATTGTTTCAATTGAACAAAACTGAAAAGTTGAACGCAAAAATTGAAACCTCAATTTACTAATTAAAATTCAATTTCTTTAGGCGTAATTACATGATGACTAAATTAATGGTTAAATTAAAAGCATACAAATAAATTAAATGGCAATAATTTGCTTCTAAATAATATTTAAACCAGATTCACTTTAAGCGTAAAATTTTCTAGAAAAAGCGAAAAATTGAAAACTCATTTTCAACATTCCCTGTGTTTATCATCATGAACTTTTCCAATTTCATCAAAAGATGAATTTCGATATATTTTTCTGCTAGAAACAGCAAAAAGGAAAAATTTCTTGCTAAATGTTGAACCAACATTTGAAATTTAAATTCAAAGCGCTTTACTGTTGTTGACATTTTGCTTGAATCTAAAGCCGTCTTTTTGGAGTGAAACTTCTGAATGTTCAAGGCATGTTATCATGTTATCACAGTTATTAGTTAATAATTTCATGCCTTTGAGCCTCTTCCATCACTCAGATTTGGCATCAATTAATGACAACAAAGAGTAGACACAAAAATAAGCTTAAATGTATTTAATGAATAAAATCCCAATTGGATTCCATTATTTTTGTATTTACTTTGTTTTTCTGGTCAACTTGTTATTCAAACATTTTAACCAGTTTCTGGTTAACACTTGCTTTCAACTTTTGGCTATTATTTTGGGCTTTATATCAATCTTAATTAATGTTCAATGTTATCAAACTAAAATTATAATTATGATTGATTTGAATTGATTAAAAATAACGTTGGTGTAATCATTAAGTTATCAGCTGAACTCAGCTGATTTCCTTTTTTGTTGTAAAACTCTTAGCAATTAACTTTAATGAAATATTTCTCAATTGATTGATCATTTTAATTTAAATCAAAATTCACTTTTTTTCGTTTATTAATAACAAGCTGAGACACGATCATGGCTGATCGTAAATTTCTTTTAACCACCCATGCTAACCGTCTTTTCACGGTATTGTCCACCGCACAATCCAACACATCTACCAAATCAACTAAATCAAACAACATCACTTTTTAAAGAAACTTTTCTTGTGTTGGATTGAGTGGTGGACAATATGGCGGACAATACGGTGAAAAGACGGTAAAAAACTGGTGAAAAAAGTCGGTCCCCTCTTTCCTCTTTACTCAAATGACAAAGTTTTACATAAAATCCTGGTCCAACAATCAACCATCAACCTAAATAACAAAAAGTTTTCCCCCCTTTCTCAATGTTATTGAATACGGATTCTACATTTTTTCCCCCAGTCTCTATTGATTTGAATTGATTAAAAATAACGTTGGTGTAATCATTAAGTTATCAGCTGAACTCAGCTGATTTCCTTTTTTGTTGTAAAACGCTGTGTAATTTTTTTTCTTAGAATCCGCTCAGTTCGACCACAATCTTGACGCAAAAATTTGATGCTTTGACTTTATATATTGATAATTTTCACTTTAAATTAAAAGCTAAAAGCTAAAATCAATAAGCAGTCTGTGAGTTCACATTAACCAGGAGAGCAAAAATCGATACAGAATCTTAGCTTTCAATTTCACTCAAAGATTCATGTAATTATATAATTAAATTGCATGAAAATGAAACTCAATGAATCATTGAATAACATAAAGAGTTAATAAATGATGGCGATGGATTGAACAAAACAATGAAAATGAATTGAAAGAATGGAAAAAAGAAGAAGAAAAATGTTGAAAATTTTGTTTGCTTTTTACCATTTCCAATGAAAATGATCGTAAAAATGAAATTAAATTTCAAGTCTTTTGTTTTTAATAGTTAATCTAAATGTTATCAATGTTACAATTTTACATTAAAGTTAATTGTCTTGTATCCAGTTCGGGTTCACTCTTGTTGTTTTCGGGTTTATGTGAGTTGCGTAAATGTTTGGTTAAACTGATCTTCCAACTAAACTCTTTGGAGCAAAGGTCACAGGTATATTTACGGGAATTACCTGTGTGAACATTGTTGATGTGATCATTCATGGCCTGATTTGAATAGTATACTTGTGGACAATAGGGACAAACATTTTTACCATTGGCCGAATGGTCAACCGAATGAGCTCCTAATTTGGGTTTACGGCCTTTGGGCGATGAACCGCTAACTAAACCAATTAAACCGTGATTGGTGAGTCGTATTTTACGTTTCAGGGTTAGTCCAAGATTGGATGATGTTGATAAAATAATGTGATTACCAACATGATGATTGGTATTCTGGTTATTTGGAGTACAGTTGGAATTGCCGTTGACGTGATTGGTGCCATTTAGATGGTTACCATTGTTGGTTGTTGCACCGGTTGTATTTGAATTGTTGGTGTTCGAGTTGTTCGATTGAAGTATTAGGTCACTTGAGGTTCCCGAAGGCAAAATATTACGAATCTTAAAAGTTGACCTTAAAGGTTCCAGGTTGGATGAGTTAAGGTTTGATGAAGATGATGATGAACCATTGACTGTTGTTTCACGTAAATGTCGAGGTGGTCGACCGCGACCTCGTTTAAGGGGAACCGTAACATCAGATGAATCATATTTGTAATCACAATTGGACGAATTATTGAGAGTTTTAAAGAGTGTTTCATTGTGCTGTTGTTGATGGTGATGTTGATGAGGGTGAAGGTGATGAAGTGATGAACCATTGATGCCGTTCAATGATAAATGACTGTGAGACTGTTGTTGTTGCTGTTGCTTTGACAGTAAACCCGAGGCAACTGCAAGGGTGGTTGATGCAGCAATGGCTCGAGCCGTGGCCGAGGTAAATGATGATGCTATTGATGCAGTGAATGGGATCATTGAGTAGTTGGCTGTGGCCCTCAGTTTATCACCACAGTCGAGATCAAGTGAATCTCCAGAAGGACATTCATCCACTAAATTTGATCCCAAAGAGGTTGATCCTCCGGTCACGGCTGCTGCTACTGCGGCTGTAACTGCTGCTGCTGCAGCAGCATTCAGGTTGGATCCTTTGAAAGTGTTGCTTAAATGGTTAAGAGTTGAACTTGACTTGGCTAGTTGACTTGATTGAAGTCCATCAAATCGACGACCTGCATTAACCCTCATATCAATTACCTCATCTTCATCTTCATCTTCATCAACCTCTTCTTCCTCTTCTTCTTCCTCCTCGTCTCCACCTTCAACCCTTTCCTCTTCCATCGAACCAATTTGTCTTTCCATTTCTTCTTCCATTTCCTCTTCCACTTGTAAACTTGAACCATTATTATCACCTTCCATTGGGTCCATCTTTTGTTGATGATGTTGATGATGATAATAAATGTTGTCTTCACCCTCTTCATTTGACCTTGGAATGTCAATTTCAAATTCTTCTGAAGACAAATAACCAGCATTATCAGCTTGTTGACCTTTAACTGTTTGCCCTTTACCTTCCTCATCATTCTCAATGACACCATCTTCCTCCTGTTCTTGTTCCTCTTCAATATCCACTTCTTCAGCCTCTTCCTCATCATCATTCTCATCATCACCATCACCATCTTCCTCCTCCTCTTCAACAATCAACTCTTCCTTGACCTTTCTCCTTTCCTCATCATGATCATTCTCCTGCATCTCCATCTTATCCTCACCATTAACCTCACCATTGACAGTGTCCGTCTGTCCATTATCCGATTGGTTTGGTTCACGTCGAAGGAGTTCTCGAAGCTGAACAAAAGGCTCACCCGGCAAAGGGAAACCTCGCCTAGTCTCGGCTGTCGGTGAAGTCTTGTGAGTCAGTAAAGGTGAAGTTGATGTTGCACAAGCCAAGGATGAGGTTGAGGTTGAGCTTGTTGTTGTGGTTGCTGTTGTTGAGTTGACCGATGAACCATTGGTTTGCTCGTTGGTCGAGTTTAAAATGATTGGATCAACAATCTTAATCATTTGTGGAGTTGATCGAAACAAATTGGAATACAAAAGCGATGGAACTCGATTCAATGTGCCAATCAAATTTCCATTTGCATGGCCATTTACAAGTTCATGGGATGAAGATGAAGAAGGTGAAGTTGACGAGGATAAAATATCTTTATTGATCATCATCATCATCATTGAATCAGACGAGTCTAGTTTAACTTTAATCTTATTGGAAGCAGAAGATGAAGAAGCATTATAATTTAAATTATCATTTGATGATGTTGAAGATGCTAATGATTTTACTTTGAATACTTTTTTACTTGTAATGGGAATGAGTCCAGTTGCCAGTGTTGATGAAATGGATGAAGATGAAGAGGTTGAAGGTGTAGTTGTTGTTGTCAGGAAACAGTTGATCTTCAACCATTGACAAGACCTTTGAAGGGAAGACAATTGACTTGAAGGTATAATTATCTCACCTTGATAAATGTAATCAATGATTAACCTTAAATCATCATACGGCACTTCACCAATAATGAGTGCACTATTTGAACATGAAGTGTTGTTGAATGATGTGAATGCAGCCTTAAAATAATCTGATGAAGCAGCCAACATGAATTTGTGTCCTTTAATAACTTTACCTTCACAAATAATTGAACAATCAAAGAGACTTTGGTCAGTAAATAGTTTACCGAAATTGGTCAACAGTTTTGACACTTGAGATTCAGTGCGACGATAACAGTAAGCCAATGTTGAATCGCCCATGGATGACATCTTGGTTGGGTTAGTCGATGAAACGTTAGACTTTGTCAAAGTGTCAACTAATTTACTTGATAAACAAAATCTTGAGGTTTAATCACTTCACTTTTCATCTTTTCATTTAAACTGTTTGGTTAAACAATTGTTGTTGATAAACCACTGTTAATCACTTTGACTATTACTAGGCACTGGGCAATCAATTGGATTGTATTTTTGGTTAAAGGATGGAATCAATTTTGGTTGTTTAAAAAGTGAAATTAAATGGTGAACAATTTTCAACTAAATTCTGGTTTTCTGATGCGAGTTGTTGTTGTATTTACTTGTTGTTGCTTTTGTTGATGATTTCAGATGCTGATACACTATAGAAGATTGATGATAAAAGATGATGATGAAGATGGAGAAGATGAAAGAGATGAAGAAAAAGATGATGAAAAGAGGTCAACAGTCAACGTATCCATTGACGGAATCAATAACAATTGTAAACAACAGTAAACTTGTCAACTGTTGTTTAAGATACAAATTATTTAAAATGGATGGCAAAGGAAAGGAAAGACAAAACAAATTGATTCTCAAAGGTTAGATAATGATTAATTCAATGTTTAATATTAAATTGATATTGATGATGATGATGATGGTTGTCAATGATTAAGAAAGGATTGAAATTGTGAAATAAATGTGTAAATATTGGCAAGTAAATTACGATTCTGCTTCTGTTAGTTTGCTTCAAATGAAATTAGTAAAATTGAAAATGAAAATGTTGCAATGTGATGCTACAATTTTGAAAATTGAAAGGAAAGATTTTGTTTTATTCATTCTCATTTCTCATCATCATCATCTTCCTCATCATCAAACCTTCATCTTTCTCTTTCATTTCAGGTTTAAGGGTCCACTGGGAGTTGCGTGAGGCGCTGATTTGCTTACAATCAGCGTTGAGTAATTAGGAGGGGCCTTCAAGAGTTGAATCAAGGCAACAAGATGAGGAAAGAAGAAGAAAATGAAAAGAAGAAGAAGAAGAGAAGAGAAGAAAAAAATTTACCCAAAATTTTTGGGACAACTCATTACAACTTATCTGTATCCAACAAATTTTAGCCTCTCAAAAGACAGAGAAAGACAGAGAAAGAAAGAGAGACTTCATCATGTTCACCAGAAAAAAAGGGTTTATATTATGTATATCAGTCATAAAAGGGAGTGAAAAGGCAAAGGCAAAATGAAAGGGAAAAGGGAAAGAGAAGTGAAATATTCAGGAGTGAAAAAAATTATCGATTGGTTGGGAAGCTGAAATTTTTGGAATAGCAATTGAAGATGAAGAGAGAGGGAGAAAAGAGAGTTGAAGAGAGAACCAATAAAAGAGAGAAATAAGATGAAAGAGAAAGAGTGAGATTGATTGAGCCAAATTGAGCAGGGAATGGGTGAAACTGGGAGTGAAGCTGGGGAGTTGGAAGATGATGGAAGAATAAATTCTAATTCTTTGCATTTTTCTCTTTCTTTCCTCTTCTCTCTCTCTCTTATAAAAGTGAACCTAAAATTGTCACTCATTCCCATTCCCCACTTTATCCTCCCCACTCATCATCCAACATTGAGACTTGCCTTTATTATTATTACTATTTTTGGCCTCCCTTGAAAAACGAGATAAAACCGAGAAAATTGTTTCCATGGAAACTGTTATTTCGCAAAAAAAGTTTTTTTTCTTCTCTTCATCAGCTTGAAAATTTGATTCTCTGTCTGTTTTTACTTTCGTCTTTTGCACAATTTTATGCTCTCTTTTACTCTGCTTTGATAAATATAATTATTATTATCAACTGACATAAAACTCGGAAAATTTTCCAAAGAGGAAAAACTTAAGAGCAAAAAAAAGTATTCAAATAATGGTTAAATATTTAATCATAAAGATGAGAAAATATTTCTCATAAATTATCAAAATTATTCAAAATTCATCTCGTAAGCATTTATCGTTTGATAGGAAAAAAAGTTTTCCTTTTGTTTCTAAACGAAACTCAGAAATGGTATTCACTCCCAGTTATCACTCCCAAGTTTTGATATTTTACGCCCTAATAATGATAATGACCAGATGAACCATTTTCATACAATTTCTTCTTCTAATTTTGTCAGATGAAATTTATTCGGTTATCGAGGAAAATGAATAGAATGGCAAAATTTGTTCCAATAATGAAAATGAAATCAAATTTGGAATCAAATTTTGAATCAATTTTTTTTTCTTTTCCTTCAATTTTGATGGGAAACAATTTGCTTTTAATAGAGGATTGTGAACTTTCTTATAGCATTATCTTGAAAATCAAAATATCAACTGAATAATGTGGTTTTGTTATTTCATTTTAAGCTTATAAAACATTTGATAACTTTCATGTTCACTCTTTTATCATCTTTCAGCATTCTTTATGTTGATCAAGAGTAAATTTCAATTTTTATTATTTTGTTCGAAATTTTGTGATAAAATTTTTTCCAATAAAATGTTCAATAAAAAAGAGGAATAAAAGGTTTTCAAGAGAAGCAAATTTCATGATTATAATTGAAATTATGATCAACTTGTCTGGTTGTGTTTCAACTGACAACCAGTTTATCACGAGAGTCTGAATAATCATCAGAATTGCCTAATAACATTCAAGGAAATTCACCTTTTATCGTGCATTTTGCTTTCAAAATTTCCTGTTTCACATTCAACGAAATATTTTCTCCTTCAGTTTTTTTCAGAATTTTCATGTACACAAAACTGGAGAGAAAAGTAAGAAAAGAGAAGAATAAAAATGAAAGAAAAATGGGAAAAAAGAAGAAAAAAGTTGTGATTATAATTCGGAAAAACTTCTGCTTCTTATATTTTTATTTTTCTTCAATTTTTCTGTTGTTGTCATCATAAATTGTATATTTGATTGTGATTATTGATTTTTGTTTCCTCTTCTTTTCTCAATTTTCCTGATTCACCAAAATTCACCCAAAAAAAGATGAGAAAAAAGAAAAAGAAAATTCAAAATCTGAATTGGAAACAAAAAATCACTTGAAATCGTTTTTCTTGAGGCAAAGTTTAATAAAATGATTGTCGAGCAAGAAAAAGTGGAAAAAATTGATTTTCAAAATTTCTGGTAAAACACAAAAACTTTTCATTTCGTTTCTTCAAGACTTTAAAGGTTTCACTTTCATAAAGATGATGATGATGATGATCTAGACAATCATTTGCATCAGTTGAACTCATCATGTTAGGAGTTTATTCAAATGCTCATTGTTTCAATATCTCATTGATTTTTGCTCAATAATGACAACTTTTTCATTTCATCTTTAATTTTGTTTTGTTTCATCAAATGAATCAAAATAAATGAAAACTTTTTTGTTTCTTCATGATAACATGACTTTTGCTCTTCATCATTTGAAATCATTCAATCGAACATTCAATTCCTCTTTTCTTTTTGGAAGAAGAAAAAAAAATACTATTCTCTCTTCTTTCCATCTTCCAAATTGATTTGGATCTCGAAAAAATGTTCAACATTTTTTTCGCCTTCTTCAATAGTTCAATATAATTTTTGGTGTAAAATTTTGCCTCATTTTTCTTCTTCTTTTTATTTTCTTTTTTCCTCTTCTCTTCATCTTGTGATATTTCGACTCGGCACAATCGATATTTGGATGTTGAAACTTGCGCAAGTCACTTTCATTTCTGGACAATTCAGCAATTTCAACATTCTCTATATTAGATTTTTTCCCGACTTTTATCATTAATATTATTAATACCATTTGCAATCTCACCAATTTAAGTTATTGGAAGCCTTTTCAATCTTTACTAATTTTCTGGCTTCTTCACATCATCTTCAAACATCAATGATTTTAGTTGAACCTTTCATTTTCCAAACTCAAGAAACCTCTGAAAAAGTTTACCTCATTCTTTCACTCATATTCTGGTAATTCTGGTTAAACATTTTTTTCTGGCTATATTATTATGACTTTAAACTGTTCAGTCATGAATTTCATTTTCAACAACTAGAATTGACTCACTCAATATGATTATTTTGCTGATTTTAGCATTTTAAAGTCTTTTTTCCCTTCACTTGCCTCTTCGCATTCTTCAAGTATTTTCATGAGCAATTTCAACTTGCTTTTGATGCTGTTTTCCATGAAAAATCAATATTGAGATTTTAGGTTTAGAATCTTTTTTTTCTTCCCAGTTTCTTCGTGCTTCTAGTATTATAAAAATAGACTCTATTTGGTTTGATCAACTTTTAGGTTTGGTCTTGTTTTGAGTTGACTTTTAGGCTTCAATTTTTAGGTTAATCATTGATTTATTTTTGTCCCTTCAATTGGCCATTTTGGCTGTTTAGATTGATGGACCGGTTGATGGCAATTGATTAGGTTGACAATATTGTTGCTTTTATTTTGTCCAATTGCTGGTTCATTGGTTATTGCTGATAATTTGCTTTGATTATCAGATGTTCATCTTGTGATTCTTGTTGACATAATGTTTGACTTTATTGAAACTTTGACTGAAATAACTCATTGTAAACTTGATTTGGGTAGCTTTGAATTAATTATCATGAATGCTGACAGGAAAACAAACAGCTAAAACTCTGAGTTCAAGTTGAGATAATTTCAACAAGATATGAATCATTAGCAAAAAGATCACCGGTTAAAGTTGTTAATAATAAATGTTTGAACAAAAATAGAAACCATTTGAGTTGAGTTATTGTTAATGAATCAAATAAAACAACCTTTTGGGTTATAATAATCACTTTGAGTGATAGGTGTTTGACTTTTGTTTTCTGACTGCTAAGCATATCATTTGTTCATGAATATTAATCCATGTTGTCTTTGACAATCATAAAATATTGGATTGATGTGAAGCGATTCATTTATTGAATTAATTCACTGGAAGCATCCAAAGATAATTTGTTTCAAGGAAAGCTCTAGAACAATGTCTTGGGTCCAAATTGGGAATATAATCTTCGTAACCTTTTTCAGCCCCGGTCCGGAAAATGGAAAGCACATTACGATTAAATTGGTGAATTCTTTGTTTGGTCACAGAGTCCATAAATTTAACATATGAAGGTCTTACAGTGTCAGGTGATAAAACTCCACAATAAAATATAATTGAAACACTAGTAGCGTAAATTATTGGTATGATATGTACTGGATCAGGCAATAGGCCGTTTGAATAATGCAAACAATAAAGGTTTTCAATACATTTCCATGTTACATAAGTTGCAATGGTAGAGTTTGGCGAAAGAGCCATAGTTAGACCTGCCAGTGAACCAGCCAAAGCTGCATGCCAGTCAGCTGAGCCACCACAAGATGCTCGAAGAATACAATTAACAAGGCGAAAAGTTGCCACAAAAAGTCCGAGGAAACCAGCGAAACGTAAATTTTTACCGTTACGAACAGCTTTCAATAAAATAGAAGGATCTTTCATTAAACGAGAAGGATTTTTAAACGATGAGATGAGGGTTAAAATGGACCACGTTAATCCAGATGATTTAATCAAACCATGAGTAAAGTAAGTGAAACAAGATGAATAGGTTTGATGAGGACAAGATGGATGAGACTTGGACAGCAGTGACAATAGGAATGATTGATTTGATTTTAATGGTGGCTTTTTGTTGTTGGGTCCATTTGATTTTGCAGACACAGCAACCTTAGTATTGGCAGCTCGAATGAGTCCACTTTTAGATTCTTCACGACCAATTAAACCTTTAATCAGAAGGCTGATGGGATCATTACCAAGACCACGAATCCGGTAGAGATACATTAATACTGACATTGAGGTTGTAAACAGCATTATCTCTCCTTTAGGAATGGGCTTGAAGAGTTTACGTTTAATGGCCACACGGTATAGACATTCAGAGGCAATGTTGATTAAGTAAAGTGCAAGTGCTGACCTACGATGAGGCCGCTCAATAAAGATGGCTACATAAGCGGCAATGAATGAGGGTAAAAAGGCAACCAGTGAATAATAAAATTTACCAGAAGCACGTCTAATGCCGCAGAAAAGGCTAAACATGAGGAAACCATTGACTCCAAGGAAAGTTGACGAGTTTAATATATTACCAATGGCTTTGAGGAGAGCATCTTGAGTATATTTACGGTTCAGTATAAACTGTAATGTATTTAAAGCTGAATACATCTTTAACCCTTCTGCAAACGCCGAGCTTCCAATTTCCCATGAGGCTGTTGAACAATGAGGTGTCCATGTGTGAGCAGTTTCATAACAATTGTATTTGAAAGACCATTCAGGAAGAAATACTTTATCCCATAATTTACTCAAGATGGACATGATCCTAATGATAGATTGCACTTGTACAACAATAAAGATGTTGCTGGCGGCAAAGTTGAGATATGGTAATGTTGATAATGAATCTGTAATGAAAAATAGAGAGAAAACTCGTTAAATTTTTCTTCAATTTCATTCTTATTCAATCACAAATTTTAATCGTCAAAAGAAATTCCCAGAAATTAATTTTTACTTTAACATTCGAGATATATCAAGAACAATAATTGTTCAAAACAGGCTTACAAACCATGTGATTATGCTTTACAGTTGGCGCTAAGCTGACAGACTTTTTTACTTTATGCTTTAAGCTTCAAGCTTTGAGCTTTAGCTTTGAGCTTTGAGCTTTTTTGATTTCATTCAAGATCAATATTGACATAATCATCGTGTTATGGGTTAGTGTAAACTAATTTAATTAATCAATTGAAAACAGATTACTTCAACTTTCAAACTTGAAATAATTATTTTAATTAAAATTTAATTGATTTTCAATTTAATGTTGACAGATTATCATTATTTGTCGAGCATAATGAGTATGAATAGTCACTGTTTCGTGTGTGAAAGCTGTTGATTAAAAATGAAAAATCAGGTTTGATTTGTCTTATTTTGTCAGTCATTTTGTTCGTTTCTAATGATCAGTGATCACCTTAATTAGACTAAACTAATAACCTTAATCAATGTAACTGGAACTGATAAACATTCAATCTGTGCCAAACAATCATAAGAGTCATCTTTAGGTTAATCAAACAACATGAAGTGCTATTTAACTTTCCATTTTACTCTTCCTTTCAATGGTTTGTATGATATTTTTAATAATTAATATTGTTAACTGACGTAGTTTTGACTGATTAAAAGATTGATAGTGTTCAATGAACTCTACAAACTGCAGTTAATCCAAATTTGCTCATTGCCGCGCCATTCAATACATTTTGAACTTTGAAGGAAACCAAGCAACCCTTGTAAACTTTCCTTATAGTGTTGATTTTTAACGATTTTTTCATTATTTTTGTTTCTGTTTTACTTTTAAGATTAATTCATGTTGGATTTTTCCTTGATTATATAATGGCCATTGCTTTACACTTGATTTGGCTTGGTATCAACTATACATGGGTAAGAAATATATGCAATTTTTATGCAATCCTGAAATAATAGTTTTCATCTCTTCTTTTTTTCATACTTAGGTAAGTAATCAATATCAGTATTGATTATGGTAACTCGGATTGTTGAGCAATGGTTACAGGATACACTTTGTTTCTATGGTCAAGATTTCTTCAACAATTGGACTACCATCAAAGGCTAACTTGTGAAACTTGAGTTTTTATTCAAAAATGAAACTCGTAATCCGCTGACTATCGTGAATGGGAATAATCTTGGTTTTTGGTTCAGATCTTTTCACTTTTTCTAGACCATGATATTAATACATTCACATTGGACAGTGATTGTTATATGGAGCTAAAACAAGAATATTTGATTATGGATTACATGGTTTAGTTTACTATCGAAGAACTACTTGGTTAGTTGAAACAAAAGACTTACCTTTATGAGAGAGATGAAGATGATTAGATTGTTTTAATCCATTGAAATCACTTTAAAGATTTAAACAATGAACAGATCAAAATACAAAGCATGAAAATTGGCGAAACTGTAAGTTTAAGATTATATCTATCACAGTAGTTGATGTTAGTCGGTTTACGGTTGAATAATGAGGCTTACAGGAAAAATATTAGATTACATTAGTTAAAAAACGTTACATTTTAGAGGAAAGAGCCGTTTTTTTCAACTAAACAGCACTTATGCATCTCATCCTGACTTATTTGTCTCCCTCAAAACAGGTTCAGTGATCAAACAACTTTCCAACAATTAATTAACAATTACTTTAGTCAATTTACTTAATTGCTTTGTGACCTCAGTTACAATTTGGATAATACACAAATGTACAAGACCAACAAAGGCTCTGCGGACAAATCTATGAGGCTATGAGAAACGATGGAATTGATTCAATCCCTAAACTGATGGCTCGAAGACAAACCAAACACGATTAACCTACTTTACATTTCCAGTTTCGTCTACATTTTCGTCGCCTTTTTCCTAATCATCTATCTTCCGCCCTCCAATGTTACAACCGATACATTTATTTGCCTCAAATAATCAGTAGCGTAACTTTCCCGACCTAACTTGAGATTTAATTGATTTACAGACTCGCTTAGTTTTTTTATTCATCAATTTTTCGGTCATAATCAACATAAATCTTGATATAATTGATTTACAATAGATTAGCTTTTAATTTTTAAATTTCAGAGATTTCAAAATCTTTTTCCGATTCCTAATCAAACTTAAATGAATCAACTTGGAAAAACTTGATCAGTTTCCTTTATAAAATTCCGTCAAAAGATGGAGTCATTAGTCATTATTGAGAAAGATTTTGTAATGAAGTGAAAGATTAATTGTTGTGATTAAACAGCTGTACATATTGAAATGTGATGAATAAGTTTATTCAAATCTATTCTTTTATTCTCTCAAGTTTCACCCTTTAACTGAAAACACAATTTCTTACCGCCAAATTCAAAAATAAAAAGTTTGATTTTCCATCTTTTATCAGCGCCATCTATTAATGTATTTAGAAATTCGTCGTTTACTTTCTTTACTTTCTTTTCAAATTTCCCTCTCAATGTAACCATCAAGTAACCGGTTATTTTGTAACCGGTTATAGTAACTGGTTATAGTAACCATACTTGGTTACTTTTCCCCCCCTCTAACCAAGTAACCGGTTACCAGTAACCAACTGGTCTCTAATTGTTGTGATTAAACAGCTGTACATATTGAAATGTGATGAATAAGTTTATTCCAATCTGTTCTTTTATTCTCTCAAGTTCACCCTTTAACTGAAAACACTCATTTTATCTCAAATCTAAACAGAATTCTTGAATTTGTTTATCTCATGTAATATTGTTATAGGTTTGGACATTTCAGAGTTTACTCGATTCAGCAAACCTTAATCAACAATTCCTGTATCAGTTTGATCAATGTTTAGCTATTTCCAATGTAGTTATTGACAATGGAAGCTAAACTATCTGACCGAATGGGGATCCTTTAGAGAATGTTATTAGTTAAGCAAAGTTGTAAAGCAAAACTGTTAATCAACAATGAGATCACCAACAATATAAGACGAATAAGGAAAACAAGTGTATCCAATGGTCCAGTAAATGTCCAAAGTGTAATAAAGAAATATTAACCAATTAAATCAATATTTTTAATTACCTCTTCAAATGAGCAAAATTTTATAGTCGTTTTTCATGCAATTTAGACACCATATCAAATAACATAATTTTCAAACTCTAAATTATATAATTCGGAGGAAGAATAATAAACATTAGTTGTACAAATTTAATTTAATTTTTACACCCTTTTCAAGATAGTTATTTTTAAACTTTCATTTGATGGCCCATAAAAATAATATTTTATGTTCAAATTGAACAATTTATGGATAATAAGTCTGAATTTTCTGAGCGTCATTTATAGGAAGATTGAAGTTGGTAAAAATTTAATTGTTTTCGTTGAGGGCCATAATCATAAATTTGCTTCCGCAGATTCGCTCGTTTCACTTATGTGTTTCGATTTCATTCATTCTTGACCATAATTTATCAATGTTGTAGTAATTTGTAGGGGTTTGAAAAATATATTTATTTTTTTCTTGATTTGGCCAAATCAATTTTTGGATTCACGACATTTGATGTCTTGATTTAACATTTTCATGGCAATTTTGGCTTTTTGTACATTTCTCTCAATTAATTCAATTCCTTTATCAAAGACTGGCTGGTGGAGAGGTAACAGCGGCAATTGATGGGTAAGATTTGAATTCCATGTATTGATATGGAACATGGAATGTGTGACCGGAATGTTCAACAATCAAGTATCCACGTTTAGCTGAGGCTCCAATCACTAAAACGACTTCTCCTTTTAACAATTGAGGCTCCGATCCAGTTGGAACTTCTGTAACATTGAACATAAATTAATTTCAGAGTAAATACAGAATTATAATATTACAATATTTACCTGGATAATCAAGTTTCATGGTTCGAGTTTGAGGATATCCAAGTTTGGTATTACCAGCTACGGTGTAAGGCCTACTTGGTGGAACTGGAGGAGGACGTTGCTGAAGATATTGAAAATGAAGAAACAATTGAATTAAAAAAATGTCGATAAAGTAGTCAATAAAATGGATAGTAAAATAGAGAAAAAATTACCAAATCAAGACCAAAAAGTGAACAAGTATGGGCAATTATTTTGGCCCCACAGGGCTCAGGTGGCGGTGTACCAGTTATTGGTTGGGGACGAGGTCGATTGAGGCCACTTAGACTAGTTGATAATAAACCGGAGGGTTTAATAGTTGATAGACCATGATGATTAATGGTTGAATGGGTTGAACCTGATTTACCCAAATACCGTTTACCATTACTCATACCACCATTGACCATTTTTATTAAACTGTTGTTGTTAACCATTATTGGCCATCTTTTACGTTGACTCCAGCCTCTCCAGGCAGCTTGAATAATAACAGCAGCATAATTACGTTTAGCATTTCTAAGTAATTCTAATTGTTGACGAGCTCCTTCACTGAGAAATACGTGTCGCTTTCCAATTGCCCATGAATTGGTTGATGGTGTTATTGAGTCAAATTGTTCCAAAGCAGATGTAAAACTATCTAAAAGAACCTGAAATTGAGAAAAAAATAACAATTAATAAACATTAAATTGTAAAAATTTGATGATTATGCTTACTTTACAATCTTCAGCACTACTTTTATCATCAACTTTTTTGAGTCTCCTTAATGGACCAATGCATCGATATCTCATTGTAAAAGCTCTAAATCTCATTCGATGAGGTAAACCACAGGCCATTAGATTTAGCGTTTCCAACACTTGAAGAGATCTTATTTGTTTCATCACAACTGGGCGATCAAAATAGCTTGGTTGCTCTTTATTATTACTCTGATGATTAAAATAGAAAAAAATTAGAAATGATTTCCATGAAATGAATTAGGATTGAAAAAGACCGAACCTTGATACAGCGGATAAAATGAGGTTTAGCATGGACTATGGTACGTAATAAATTATCCAATCTTGTATGAAAATCTTGTGTTAAAGTGGTTGTTATATCATTTCCATGTTGCAAATTATTGTGACTGGTGGGTGAGATTCTGAATTTAAGTCCACATGGAGCTTGATCACGGGCAAAAAGCGCCTTTAATTCGATACCAAAAAGGTGTGAGGCAAAGCCAAATGTGCATGATGACTTATGGAAAACGGAAACAATATCATCAGGAATAGTATCACGATTAGCTTCAATAAAATCATTTGTATCATAGACAACATTCCCAGCAAAATGACGGACACCAAAAAATCGGCTCAATTTTTCATCATTATTGTTATTGAGATTGTTGTAGTTATTATTATTGTTATTATTGTTGTTGTTATTAGCGATGTTTTTATTATTTTTCAGATTATTGTTGGATTGATGATGATTCGGGTGATGATTGTGAGTCTCATTGTTATTGTTGGATAGACTGTTGTTTTCCAAGTTTTCTTTGGCAATCTTGTCAATTACATTTACATTTTTTAATTTGTTACCCAGACTTTCATAGTCTCTGTCTACATGAAAATATCTTGAACAACCGTAATGTTGAGCTTTAATTTTGGCCACATATGATTCAGGTGTTCCTTTAAGAAATGTTTCAACGTCAAGCATCTCCAAGAGTCCAGTTCTCTGTAAGTGATCATCGGGATGATGATTAAAAAAGGAAAAACAAATGAAATTAAAAAATCAAGTAAAAAGTAAAAAGGGAAGAAAAGGAATCATCGAGACAAAAACTGATCAGAATCACTTGAAAACGAGTCAAGGAAAGATGTGAAAGAAAGAGAAGGGAAAAAATGAGCAGCAAAACTTGTAATTTTGTGACCATTTTAACAAACCCGAGGCTACGTATTATTTGGGTGCGCCACAAGAAGAAGGCGAAAAATGCTTTTACTCTTTCTTGTTTGCCTTTTTTTCATCTCTATTATTCATCATTTTTTTTCTTCTTCTTTTTCCATTCCTTTTTACTAGATTCCATTCCGAGCATCTATTATAAAACAGTTTATTTATCGCTTCAAGACACAAATAACAACAACAGCAAAAGTGAAGAAGCTAAACCATTTAGGTTTGAGAGAGAAAGAAAAGCAATTTGAGAAAAGCTCATTGGTTAATGATAGATTCAATAAGAATAATAATGATAATCATCATCATCATCATCATCATCATAATGATTAGGACTAAATAGTTGACTGGACAAGTAATAGTTAGGACAATCTCAAGTCAAATAACTTTTTGTTTAACAAGTGCAATTACATCTAAGCATTAGCACTATAAAAAACTGTTGGGGTCACTTTTTCCGGTCCGGAAGTGTAATCAAGCAAAGCTGCAAATTTTTACATTGACTGTTGATTGATGGTCACAAAATTTTAAATTGACGACCTTTCAATTGAACAATTATTGTTTTTGCCCTTTGAACAGCACTAATTATCAGAGTTGTTCCAGGAAAAAGTTAATAAGCTTGACATTGAAAGTTCGTTAGGAAAAGTAACCGTAATTATGAAACCGATGGTAATACCGATGGCTCCGATCAATTTACGTACCAAAGATGAGATGAAATCAATGCAAGGAACATTATCAACATAATCAACTTGAAAATCGGTCGAGACACCTTCTTCTTGACATGATTCCATGCTTGTCTTGAATATTATTGTATTGTAATAATGTTGCATTGTCTCAGCACACAGATTAATACAAAGATGCTCCAAATGACTGGGCTGTAATTAACGAGGAAACGAAAAATAATTAGAAAATCGTAAAAATAAAAAATATTTCCATCCAATGATGGATAAGGTTAACCTACATGGGCATCTTCAAAACCAAACATGTCCAGGATACCAATGAAACCATCAGTCGCATGTCTAACTGCTGAATTAAGGACATTGAGTGATTTATGTGACTTAGCACCACTGGAACCAACAGTGGAAGCATGATGTGAACCAGTTTCAATTTGATTTTGAATTGACTCGTTTGAATCCGAAGACATTGTTCCACATGTTGATCCAATTCGTTTCAAGCTATTTGCCCTTCTAACAATGGTGGCAACTGTACGACAATAAAGAGCCTTAGCAAGTCCATCTCTTGTTTTGGAAGCCTAAAAATGATTAAACAAAAACAAATTACATTGTAATTAAACTAAAACAATAAAATGATTTAAAATAAAATTCAAAAATACTTACAGTAAGTCCATCACAGACTGATTTAATCAATTGACCACGGACATTCTGAGTTCTTGTCGTTAAACCTCGATACAAAGCAACACTTGAGATTCCTAAAAGTGAGGCAACAGCTTTTATCTCATTACTGGCTTTAGAATCAAGAAAACCAATATTTGAACTGTCCAATAAGACGGGATTGTGCCTTTGACCATCGTTGAATTTAATATTACCAAGTAAAAGGATTGCCGATAAAACTCGGACAACATCCATAAAGGGTATTCCCAAGACAGAAAGTGCAGTCTGAAGGATAAAGGAAAGCAATATGTAAATAAGGGAAAGAGTAGAAAAGGATTTAACAAAAGAAAAGAGAAAGAATCACATCTCAATGTAATTGTTCCCCAATCGTGAATAATCGTGAAAATTACCTTCCAGGCTTCAAATCGGACAGCATCTTCCACTTCATTTTGACTTGTATCACCTCTATTTAAGTATCGTAAATTATTTACATTATAACCTTCCAAGTTGAGTTTGGCTAAAGGACGAAAAAGAACGAGAAAAGTCGCATTAAAAAAAGGTTAAAATCAATCGATTTGAACATATTTACCTCGTTCATCTTTAGTTAAACCAGCCAACATTTGATAAAAGATGTGATAATTTTTCTCATTTGGATATTGTTTTAAAACTCGAGTCTGGAAATGATACAAAAATGAATTTTAAAACATCAGTTGAACAAAATGGTGAAAATAATGTTACCTGATCGAGATAATAACAGTGAATTTTAGTTCGATATAAGGCTCCATCAGTAATTTGCACTTCAATAAATTGACCCTGAAATGGGAAAGAAAAGAAGAGAATAAATAAACTGTAATTAACACAGAATTAATCATGAAAAACTGAATATCAATCAACGTATAATGACATTGCATAAACTTGACAGTTTAAGTAAAAAAAAATCGGTTAACTTTTCAAGTGATTGTACTTTTAAAGTGAACAATTTTTCAAATTGTAATAAGCAATCAATTATATTATTGTCATGTTTATTACAACGGCCAATGGGTTTAATTTGTTTTCCACTTTTCACGAGTTTAAAACTGTGTAATTCAACACTTGAGTCAAAGATCAACACATGAAAAGCACCAACAAAGGTCCTAAAAGTTCAGGTTAACCTTGACCAATGTATTTCATTTCATTTTGTTTTTCAAAAAAAGTTAAATGACCTCTTCATAGTTGAGTAAAGCTGTAAAAAATAGTCAATAAATATACATAAATGTTTTTCAAATCGAGCTTTGAATCAACTCGCAATTACCAGGCTTTTGATGAATTATTTTCATTTTTGTTTTTCCATTGAAAATCTATGAATTTACCTTTACTTTTCTGAATAAAGTAAAGATAAAAGAATGTGAAATAAATAGAAAATGAAAAACCCTTCTGTTTCTCATTGCTCAGTTTACCTTCAAGAATGGCAAGAATGTGGTAAAAGAGTCAAAAAAAGATGTAAAATGAGGATAAAAGTGATTAAAAAAAGTAAAAAAGCTTTTAGGTAATTATAATCACTTGATTTGTTAGCAATATTAGCATGATTTGGATTCATTTTTACACTCTTAAAAATATTTGTTTCAGTTTAAAAAGGCAAAAATCGCATTCAAAACTCTGTTAATCAGGTTAATCAATTAATCATTAACATGAAAGTATTTAAGATAAAAAATCAAGATTTAGAATCAAGTTCATCAAATTGTTTGATTAATCTTGATAAACATATCAATGACTAATAGTCAACTTATCTAATATAAATCAATCTGACGATTTTACAGAAACCTTGTTAAAGTAAAATATTTTCATTAATTTTCATCTCAAAATTAACGTGTTTTACGTTTATTTGTATAAGTTGATTAGACCTAATCCTTGATTGGCAATAACAATTTAGAGCCTTAATTTGCTCTAAACAACGTTAGATTTAGAAGTAATTATCATCAATGATTTTCAATCAAAATCATAGATTAAAATGATAATGAAATGGATGGTGGGTTGAGAATGGCGTTGAAATGGTAGGATGGATCAGAAATTAAATTATTTTTTAACCTAATCAAAAGTCGGATAATCAAGGAGATGAAATTGCCTTTAGATTAACTGATAATCTCTTTCTTTACTTTCTCCCAATCATATGATGCAAGTCAATAGTCCATGATCTTGAAAAGCCTTCAACAGCCTAAGGTGATGACCAGACTGGATAAAATAGCCAAAATTAAGGATAAAAAACAAGAGGCCAAATGGTGATGAAGATGATTATAAGATGAGGAAGAGTCAAATTAGAACAGAAGAAAAGCTTAAAAATTTATCATCTTTAAGCTCTAATTAAATGTCTCATTTAACGGTTAAAAATTGATACCAATAGGTTTAATTAAACATCAAATTGATTCGATTTTTTGATGAATCTTCTTTTATCGTTTCATCGGTCTGCTAGTGTTTCCCTATGAGCATACTTTTCCGGTTCATGTTCAGGTTTAACCGATTTAGATCATCAGCATCTTCATCATCATTTTTTGTGGTGTCTTCAATAAGTTGTGGTCAAGTTCAAAGACCACTGTGAGGGATTAAAATCAATGCCATTCAACGCACGAATTGGAATCCTGAAAAAGCTAAGCCCACAGGCAATGGTTATATCACTTATTTTTTGCCTTCTTTTCCTTTTCTTCTTTGCTTCTCTTTTTTTTGACGTCTTGACTATCTTGTTTCTGTATTATAATTTTCAAGCGGCAAGGTGAAGTTGAAGTTCATAATTGATAAGCAAGTCTTGAAACAGTTTGCCTGAAGAGAGAAAGAATAAAATATATTCAATTAATTTGATTGGATCAAGTTGATGTTGATGAAGATAAAAAAAAAGTCTGATAAAAATGTATATTAAGATCAGATTTAGAAAAATTGTTTCAGTTTTTTTTGCTTCATCGACAAAAGTTGAAACCATCAAAACATTTGCTAAGTCAACTGAACAGATTGACTGAATGATGGATATGCAACTTTTTTTCAGCAACATTATTGAAACTAAATATCCTGATGAAAAAGAAAAAAATTAAGGAGAAAAAGGTTTCAAGTGGAAAAATGCACTTTTGAACATTTTCATCAATCGAAGATGAAAATATGAGTTAAGTGTAGATGAACTTGGCAGGATATGAATGTACTGATTGGTGAATTGAAAGAGTCAAGACTGTGTATTTTGATGATGATGCGTGTTGAGACTGGGATTGATGATGATTGAATAATGCATTTCAATAACTTTAAAGATGATAAATGATGAAAAAGGGAGAGAAAAGGTAACACTAGAAAATATGGTGAAAGATAAGTGCGAAGAAGCGGGATCAACTGGAGAAGATTCCTGCTGCTGCAACCTGAGGCTTTAAGGTCTGATATGGAGCTACTGACTGTTGATTTGTGATCATTTAAGATGCAAAATTTGTAGATGTAAATTTTCATGTTTGCTTGTTTAGTGAAAAAAAGGACAACAGCAATGGTCCAGTGAAAGTGCAAGATTAAGGAAGCCAAGATGAGGTGATGATAATGGTGTTGGTTATGGTGATGATGAGACACTACAGAGACTGAGAAAAAGTGAGAAAAAAATGAACAAAAAAAAGTGAAAAGCTAAAATTCATAGAGTCTAAAGTGAGAGACTTTGCTTTTCTTTTAGGTTTTTATCAAAATTACTGGTTTTACAGCATAAAAAAAAGAAACCAAAAATAAGGCAAACCAAGAATCAGTTTGGTTAATAATACAAAACAACAACAGCAACCATAAATATTATAATACATATACAGATATCTACATTGGTAAACACAGAGAAAACCGACATTTGGAGGAAGGTTAGAAAAGTAAAGCCAAAAATACGAAAAGAAGCCAAGATTGACAGAGAAATGGTTCATCAGGTAGCCAAGGTAGGTGAGAGAGAAAGAGAAAAAAGAAGAAGAAGAGAGAGAATGTTTATGGTGCCTTAGGGGCAAGAGGTAAGACTTAAGACTCTGCATCTTTGCCGGACTCTGGTAGATTTGCAAAAATAGTGTTTACAAGTTATGCCTTCTTATAAGAATTTGGAAGAAGAGGATGATGATGATGATGATGTAGCTTTTTCTTGTGACTTAACCTGGAAGAAAACAAGAAAAGCAAGACTGCATTAGTATTGAATAGTCATTGATTGGTTTCTTTAAACCGGTTGAACAAAACTTGACACTCTTTTTCTCAGCTTATTTTTTCTCTCAATCTTTCAATGCACATACACACTTATTACACACAATTCAGTGTTTTAGTCAGTTATCATTATTATCATAAGATTTTTGTCTTATTATTGATTGATTCAGTTAATGATAAAGTTAAGGTATTTTGCACTCTTTCATAATAACTTTGCTTTTCTTCATCTTTCAGTTTCAAGGTGAATTTGAAAGTTTACTGTAATATGATCGAATTGAATGTGTTGGTGAAAATGAAATTCAAGAGGAGAAAAGAGAATCAACTATTTCCAGAATGAAGAGTTAACGAGAAAAGCATCAAATTAAAATTGGTATTGAACAGTAATTTCATCTGCGCTTTTGACCCGATGGTGAAAAGCAAAGTAAAAGTACATCATGTTTGGAATTGAAAAAGTAATTCTCATGAGAGAAACGTCTAGGTGAGGGTAAACGCTGATTTTACCATCTGATAACAGGTAACTTGAGATAAGTTTTGTTGACTGTTAATATAGATTTGAGGCAACATGTGAGACTCTATGAATAAAGGTTAACAATGTCAGGGAACACAAAAGGTACAGCAATTGGCAATAATTTTGCAGTGTAATAAAACATCAACAAGTTTGTTTTTAGCCTCAATCAAATGTAATTTAAAGTTAAACAAGAACGCACAGTTAAACACATAAACAAGTGTTTCGATGGTAACCAAAGTGCAATCTTAAACCGACTTATTTATATAAAAATATATATGAGTTTGAATAAATAACATGGTCAAGTAGACAGAACTGGATGGTGAAAGAAGAGAGGAATGAGAAGAGGATGAGAAAAAGGGAGAACAAAGATGAAAAGAAAGAGAGCTGAAAATTAAAACATTAATTGCTATTGAAAGATACCTCATACTGAGTCTAATTGAAGAGAGAAGAAGATAGAGAGAGAGAGATGATGATGAGAACTCACTGTCAAAATAATTTGAACAAGTTTAAAGCTAGTTTACTTTGCAGTTTTGTATTGCCTTTGAATTTGCTGTTGATAAATAGTAAAACTGATTTAACATCCATTCACTTTGAGTTTGCCTGTTTTCATCAATATGCCGTTTTATTGGTGATATTGGACTGGAATTCAGAGCATTTTTCTGGTTTACTTTTGTCCAGTTTTTACCACATCATCAGTTTCATCATCTCTTGAGATTACACCTTTTCTTTCCTGGTTGATGGAAGAGGTGAAATCTCACCGGGACATCAATAGTGTCACATAAATCACTTTTTCAGATTAAGGTAGATTGGCCATAACATGAAGAGAGGGGAGCAAAAAGATCTAATGATATATCCACAAGACCACACAGGAATGATAAATTTAAATAGTTTAGATGGATATTGATATAAATAAAAACATATATTGATACAGATTACCAGCACGTAATGGTTCTGTATCAGAGAGGGTAAGTGAAACAAGATGAAAAGGTTATGACGAGAAGGCAAAACTTGAAACTCTGTTGATATGTGAAGATTCCGTTCTTGCATTTCCTTGACATGTAATTTAAAAGTGTTTTGATTAGGTTTAGATGAGCTAAATTAATGATGATTATACGTTGATGGATAAATCAATTGAATGTTAGTTGTTGATGAAGTGTTTATAACAAAAGTGGCCAAGACTTACGATTCGACTAGATTCTGCATTTGTAACAGTCTTGGCTGATCCTAGAGATTTAAGGACAGTAAAGGCTGCTGATAAATGTTTGAATGAATCAGTTTCTGGTCCTCCTCCAGCAGCATCAAAAAGGTGGCGTAAAAGAAGCATGCAGCAGTAAGTTTTTCCACTTCCACTTTCACCACTTTAAAGAGAAATGAAAAAATTAGAAAAAGAGTTAACAAATGATTGAGAATATTAAATGATAATTATTAATTAGGAATTGTTGATTAGAGTGTAGGTCTAATTAACTGGGGAAAAAAAGATGGATGATGATTCTTATGAAGCAAATGTTGTGGGCAAGGATAAAATGATTACATTTATGTAACATTAGCGCAAAGATGATTAGTTATTTTTGTTAATTTTGCCTCTCTTCTTGGTTCACATTATTATTACCTGAGTATAATTGCTTGAGGATAACCTGTCTCACTTTGTTGTCTAACTGCATCTTGAGCAATTCGCAATAATTGGGGATATTTTGGAGCATCATGGTGGCAACTTGCTAAGGTAACTGGATTACCCTTGCGTTCATAACCATTCATAGCTAAAACCAATAATCCAATGTTTGTCTGTATTAGAGAGAAAAAAAATTAGCATTGTTTCTGTATCAAGGTTTGGGTGTAAATTCAATTTTAAATCATTAATTGTAATTTGCTTTTGTCAAAGTAGGGTTTGAGATATTAGGAGTAAAATGTTTTGAGAGGTTAAGGGAAAATACTAGTAAAATATCAACATGGTATGGGGTAATATTTGGATAATAAGATGTTGAGATTAAACATCATGCATCTCACGGTGTAATCGTCAATGCACAACATATAGCCATTTATTTGGCATTTAAATGTCAATCATTTTGGTTAAATGATACAAAGAAGACAGGGAAAAGGGGAAACTGAAGAGAAGAATAGATGTTAGAACAAACATGGAAGAGAATATCAAAGTTTGATGGTTATTTCTTGCATCGTTTGGTTTCTTCTCTTCATTCAATTATTGACCTTAACAAGATTGCTATTGGCCAATGATGGATAGAGGATAGCAAAGTATTTGAGTTGATTAACTTAATTAACATACTAAACACTCATGAATATGAAATCTTGCATCCAAAGCTCGGACAATTGAATCTTCTGTAAGTGGACCTTGAAGATGAATAAGATCGTAAACCTCACTTGAACTTGATTCACTCGGTTTTTCATCTCCAGTTGTAGGGTTTGTAAATCTTCCCATTTCTAGAACAACGATCAGAGAGAAAAAGAAAACGAGAAAAAAAATATTAGAAAATCAATCAATATTCAAATGAAATGGAAAATTCAATTTACCTTTAACTTTGCGTCCTTTCATTTTCTTTTCAGTTTCCCAATATTTTTGAAGCTCAGTAAAATATTTGTCAATAATGAAAACTTTTGAAAGTCCTGGAGCAGTTGCCATGTTTAATTATTATCTGATTTTCTGGCAGTTTCTTGATCACTTGTACACACTTTATGAACCACAAGAGCGATGAAAATTAAACAAACAATTTATAACATAAATACTGGGTTAAGGTGGAAATTTAAACGAAACAAAAAAAGAAAGCAATCAAGTGAAGAAATAAAGAGTTGAGTGCTTAAAAAACACTGTGTATGTAATAAATAAGAGGAATAACAACAAAAAAAATAGAGAGGGAAAGTGAGAGTCAATTCACTTGATAATTTCAAGATAATCCTCGATCAAGGTCTGATGAGAATGATGACTTTTCATTGGCACTGAAATCAGCATCACAATAAAATGATTCAATCTCCAAAACATGGTGGAAACATTTTTAACACAACACAAGATGATAAGATATGTTGATTAAAATAAATTAACCAAGCCCAAAAGTGTACCAAGTTTGAAACAGCAAAATATGGTGAACAAAATGGCAAATTATGATCATAACCAAACAATAGATGATTAAGCCAAGAAAAGAGGTAAACAACTATCTTTATCTTTTAAATAAAGAGAAAGCTTGATCAACTTGAAGACGAAATTTTGTTACAATGTACAAATAAAACACAAGAAAGTCATGTTACCATGAAGATGGATGGTGAACAGGTAAAACAAAAATTAAGGTGCAAAAAACATATGGTCAGGTGAAATTGATGTAAAGTGTTTAGAGATGTGAGGAAAAGATGAACAAGTTGATGGTTACCAATTTAAGGTAAAGGGTTAGACAAGGTTATCTATCAACGATTGAGTAAAAATAAACAGTAAACATAAATAATGGAAGAAAAGCATACAAGAAAAGACTGTTCGTTAAATTCATCTCTTCCTTCTGCCTTTGTTGCTTATAACAAGCTAAACAAACTTCTGACAAATTTTCAACTTCTCAAGTCCCAAACGAGAATCACAGCAACAACAACGGCCTCCATTGATCCTGATTGACCAGTTTACCGGAGAATTGTGTTTTTTCTAAACTAAATAACACACTTTAACACAGTTTGCTTGCAAGAATGATAAAATTGGATAAAAAAGTTGATCATGTTTTGAAAAGTTCAATTAATGACAAAAAAATATCACAATTTCACCAAATAATGGATTATGTTTTACAATAAATTACAACTTTTACACGTAAAAACTTCGTCAATTAAGTAAACAGTTTATTAAGATTTTGTTGAATTGTTTCACTCACTTGGAGGATGTAAATGTAAATCGATTAAGAACTAATTTATTACATTAATTGAAGTAAAACTTGGGTTAATACAAATAAAATTTGATCAACAAATTGAATGATACATTTTGCTTAAAAGTTGCACCAATTTCAAAATCGAACTGAGAAAACTAATAACACGCCATCTTTTAGCGAATTTTCAAAGTATTTTTGGGTTGCGCGCTACATTCAATTCATTTAAAGACAAGTGAATCATATGATTATGTTATCATTTTTGTCGATATTTAAAGTTTGAATCTAATAAAATTTGTGATCTTAACCTTTTTTAGACAATTGACGAACTTACGGTGTTGCTGTGAAGTTATGCATTAAAATGTATTTGTTTGAATCCAAATAATTAACTGCTCCAACTTCAACTGGATTGGAAACAAGTCAACCGTTCAAAATTGTCATCAACATTTCTCCGTTTTCCTTTTTTTTGGTTTCTTTTGATTCTTTCATTCTCTTTTCTCTTTTCTCTCTTTCTCTAGGTAAGACAACAGGTCAACGTTAACATTAACGTTAACAACAAACCGTTATCCCTCAGCGGTTCCAACAGATCAGTTTAAATTGTTATCATTTCCTCTGCAATATTTATGCCTTACCCAACTCACCGGATGTCTATATTATTATCTAAAGGTTTTACCTCTAAGAGGAAAAAATATATTTTTTGATTGTTTCTGGTGTTTTAAGTGTGTTTGTGGTCTCACAATTAGTCCGATGATTTTCCTCTCACTTGAATAGCTGACTTCACAACAATTTGGCTACTCATTCTAGTGAGTATCTTTCTATGGTGACTTTATCTGTTTGCTTTTAAAAGCTTTAGATTAAGTTTTTTCTTGGTGATTGAAAGTTAAGTCTGGCTATCAACTGACTGATTGAGATTGGTCATCGGAAGAGGAAAAAATTTGCTCAAAAGTTTGAATTTTTATCTAAAATACGCCTTTTCTCGTTTCGGATCCAAATCTTTAAATTCCTTGGACTCAGATACCTTATGATTCAGCTTGGTTAAACTGAGCTTGTTTGGAACAAGTTGTTTCTCTTTTTTGCTTCACATTTGACTTGTGTTGTCAATCTCAATCACTTTTAATCATCAATCTATTGGTATCACTCTACACTTTTTTTATCAATTATTTACTCCCTTGATCAACTGTTTACCATCTACAATGGATACTCCAAATTGGTTAAGAAACAATTCTAATATGATGTGACCAACGAGGATTACCCCTTTACTGTTATTGTTATTTTGGTTTTTTTTCCTTTTTTATCAATCTGTTTGTCAATTTTTTTGATCTACCATTGTTTAACATATCTTCCTCTTCCATAAACCAACACTGAACTGGTGTAAACATCAAACAACCATCATTTAGTTCTTCTATTTTTTTGTGATTTTATAACTTTGTCTTCAATATGGCCTGCAGAATAAGGTTGGTATTTGTCATTGATTCAAATTTTTGTTACCCAATTTAAAGAATATGACAATTAATTGACCTTAATGTATTTTTTTTCCTTTCTCTCCTTTTGTCTTTCACTCTTTCCTCCTATCTTTCCCTTTATTTTGCTCTAAAATCAATCAAACCTGTAACCAAACCAAAGGAGTTCGCCAAATCATGTTTTCGATGTCTTCATGGAAATCAGCAGGCCTGCCAATAGTCCAGATAGCAAACCGTATATACTTCAACAATATCCACATAATTTTAAAGATGAAGAGATTACCAAATCAGTGCCTCAATTCTGCTACCCTTGTAGAATAGAATCTCCAAATGTTCTACATTTTTCCTTTGTATTAACCTCAATTGATAGTAAATGGAGTTTCGGTTTCATACGACATCCACCACAACCGGGCGATACTTGTCTGGTTTTACTCTCCTCGTTACCTTGGCATGACACATTTTATAAATTACTTAATTATATTGCCTCACTGATTGCTAAAGACGATGTAAGTCATTCATATTGAAACAATTGTGAACAATCAAAAAATTTCAGCCAACGCCATTTTAATCCATATTTTATTTCCAGACGGCTCACCTGAATCGTTTCTTGGAAGCTCTCTATCTAACTCCAGTTCCTCAACCAGGATTGTTTCTTCAAGTTATCTACGCTGTCAACAATAGAGAACACGATTTCACTGTCCAGTGTCCTGATCACCACAAAATCCCTAGCATTCCAGAAGATGTAAGATTATCTTAAACATGTGTAGACATATTCTCTTGGCCATTTATAATTCTAAACATATTGATTTCTGTTTTTCTCCCTTTTTTCTACTCCAGAGGAATTTATCTGAATATTTCAACGCTGTTGATAGTAACAACATGATTACCATATTTGCCAGTATGTTGAACGAAAGAAGGATTATAATCACCTCCAAAAAATTAAGTCGTTTATCTGCATGTGTACAAGCTGCCAATTCGTTAATCTATCCGATGTATTGGCAACATATATTTATTCCTGTACTTCCATCTCATTTACTGGATTATCTCAGTGCACCAATGCCATTTTTAATCGGTGTACCATCATCAATTTTAGCTGTAATTGATTTATTTATCAATTTAATCCCTATAAATACACACACACAGAGCAGCTGTAAAGTAATTTGTTGAGTCAATTTTAATTTCTCATTTTGTATGAAAATAATCGTAATTTTCATATTTTAATGTATTCTCTAATTGCCTCAACAATCTACTGTGTGTTAATATCTATTTTGCTAGTCTAATATTTGTTTCTGTCTTTGTCTTTTTTAGACTACTAAACACTCGGAATTTGGTGAGACTGTCATCCTTGATGCGGATGAGAACAAGATTACCACCCCTTTTGATGATGTCGGCATGTTACCCAATGAAATAGTAAGTTATCTTTTTATTGATAACAGAACCAGAATGCAGAATCATCAACAATCAATTTACAGTATCTCAATGTGAAACACGATAAACTTGAAAAGAGTTTTGGGAAAGACTATAAAGGAGTTGATTGAAAACAAATAAAGACTGATGAAAAAAAAGATACGAAGGAGTTTACAGGTTATCAAAATGCAAAAAAAACGTACAACTTTACTCATTCAAAAGTAAACTCAATTGACCAAGCATGGAAATGACCAAGTTTCCATATTAAAGAAAGTTCTCCTTAACTCAATTCTAATAAGAGAGTTTATTGAAAAATTTTCTCTTCTAAATTGGAGCGAAAATTTTCTTTCCATCAGCTTTATTTACCTTTCATTACCATCATCTTTACTCCTGTTCATCATCATCATTACAGAAACCACCTTTGCAACAAGTTTGCGTGATTGTTTTCAGTTGGTTCTCAAAAAAAACATATCTGTAACAAATTTATTAACATGGTTGAAGTGGGTGATCAACACAAGATAGGGTGAATGATTCCATCTTAAATGCCTGTCATCAAGATTCATGAATTGATCTTTCAAAACATATAAATATAATTACCATTTCAGGAACCGGAAAGTAACTTGCGAGGGCGTTAAGTGTCTAACAATTGCATCCACTTGTGGATCCACTTAAATTACAACCCATTAGCAACTGTCGATTTCAAATATTCAACTCACTTCGACAACCTTTAAGATATCACACACAATTGTAGTCCAAAATTAATCTCATAAAACTTGAATTCTTCGCAGCTTCCATTCATGATCTAAAATCTTGTAAAATAGCAATTGTTGCATGATAATACCTGAAGCATATCTCATTTAGTGTTCATCTTTTCCTATCACCTTTGTCATCATCGGGAAGAAACTTAAAAATGCAATCTTTACATTTCAATTGCCTTTATTGAAATGAAGTAAACTCTGGCCATTCGTTCATTTCTGGGCCACTATTTTACCTGGAACATCAGTCATGGATAAGTTGATTATTTTTGTCAACTTTTCTTGTTTTCCTTTTTTTATTGTAGTTCATTGTCTCAATTTGTAGTCAACTTTTCCTCTTCATCCTTAATGATATTTTAAGGAATATTGTGAATCAGCAAATAGCATTAACCTTTTCATCCCATTGTTTCCCAGTTTCAAGTTTCCTCTTTCTTGCCTTACTTTAATTTTCTGTGTGTTCAAATTCCTGATAATTATTTTCAGCTTTTTCTTCTTCCCTCGTCATCCTTTCATTTCCGCTTATAGCCTTCATTTGTTGATTGTCATTACAACCGATGTCCATAAGATGTTTTTGTATTACCTTTTTTCCTATTCTTGTTCAACCTTCTTTTTACCTTGCATTGTCAATTTCCGGACAACTTTAGATTGTCAATATAATTATTTTAATAATAGTATTGATAATAATCTATTTACCAAAGTTGTACAACTTTTTGTTTTTGCAAACATTTTTTTACACAGAACAGTTCAATTGTCTATTATACTCTCAACCTTGATAGTTTCTTTGTCTCTCTACTCTCATGGCAAACATATTCTTCTATTATCTAATTCATCTCCAGAATCTCATGAATTTTATAACTTTCATTTTTATACTTTAATTTACCTGAAAATTTTAATTTCACGCTTAAACAGTTGAATGAAAATTCTTGATTTCTTCCATTGCTTAACTTTGCTGTTTGCGACAAGATAGTTTCTGGTTCATTCAGTCCATTTAAAGCTCTCATTATCCACAGACTCAGTTGAAGTAAATGTACTTGACAATTATTTGCTAATTTATCTACCGATATACTTGACAATCAGAATCATCTGTTGATCTAACAACATTTTCAAGCATCTTCCGATCAAACTTTGTTTATAAATTCATTACCAAGCAGTTTCAATGTGAGGACAATTAGCTGAACAAATAGGAAGTACTTGAACATATTAAGTCGAGAATCGTTGTCTACCGTTCATTGAGCTATTTATTTCAAGAAAAGTTTAATTCCTTGCTTAAATGTATTCAATTTTTTGCTCTTTCAACTTTAACTTTCATCGACTTGACCTCACTCTTTCCTTACTTTGAATTTGAAAATTGATAGATTATTCAGTAATCAATTTGTAAGATTTTCATTTTTTAATTATACTTAATCATTTCTATTCAATTTTCTTATTAGCTTCAAGTTTGCGTTTCTTGAATTGCCTTTCAAAAAACTCTAAAATCAAGTACAATATAATTATTATGGCAAATTATTAAACCAATTCAATGAATGTTAATTACAATTTCAGCTGAACTGTTCTAACATGATTAACTCTCCAACATGTAAATCATAACATAATATTGATGCCTCTAGTGGCAACATTACTTCAATAATCAGCAAGTCAGGAAGTGTAAACATATCATTTTGTTGAACTTATTTGATGCTGCTTTTTTCAAGTGAATGATCCGTTTGTGAAAATAAAGAAGGAAGATAAATAATGATGATGATGATGAAGATAAAGAGTTGCACTGAATATATTCTCTATCAAAACCAGTCCATAAAAGATCTGTAAGTCAAGGTTATCATATTTTTTCCTAGTTTCTTGTAAACACTTTATTTACCTTCATTCAACTCCATTTTTATTATCAATTTGAACTTTATTTCATGGTTTATCCATTGAAAATCATGATTTCTTTCTATATAATCTTTGATAGAGATAAGCATCACGTTCAGCCCTTTCAAGATCTTTTGCATTATCTTTTATTTTTTCAACTTTATGCCATTTTTGCCAACAATTGATTGATTGCTTTGATTTTTATTGCCATTCAATGATGATAATGGTAAAATAATATCAGACAAAAACCTTGCAACCCTTTGATTCTCAATTGATTATTGTTGTATACTAAATGCATATTTTTTGTCTTTCATTTTAAGGTTTCATTTTTAAAGAAGAGCATGAAGAACAATGGAGCTCTTATTGGTGATGGAGTCGCTCGAACCTTTCTTAAAGCTTTGGTTATGTTGATTGGTGGTTATCAGAATGCCCTGAGATTCCCGAGTGGCTCAAAGATAACCTTCGACAAAGAAGCATTTATCAAAACTCGCCCAGACCACATGCAACCCTTCCTTCAGAAAATGTTGCACCTTCAAATATTTCACCAATTTATTGAAGATCGTATCCGAATGTTAACTAATGCTGAAAGTATTTCCGATGAATTTGAATTTGAGGTGAACATGTATGAAGAGGATCAAAGTTCTCACCGTTTTCGAGCTCAGTACAAAGAATGGTTAGGCCAAATGAAGAAGGAAGGTGGTGCGCTTTTAAAGTCTGTCAACCCGGCTGTTAAAAGTGCTTATAAGCAAGTTAAAAAGGGAGGAAAACAAGTCAAAGATCGAGGCAAAAAAGCGTATAATGGTTTAAGATTAAAATTACAAGATATTCAAAAACCTGAATCAGGTTTACCCAGATCGGCTCCATCAACTCCACGAGAATCTCCTACATCATCAGCGTATTATGGGCTTGAAGAATCTTCCAATGGCCCTGTAAGGAAAAGTGCTAGCGGTTTAATTCTTGGAAAATCTGACCGAAATCAAATGTTATCGGTACTTATTACGTTCCTCAATTTGTATATTTCACTTCCTTTTTCGATTATATTTTAACTTTCTATTTTTATTATTTACAGACTTCATCCGTATCTGATTTCACTTCAAGGAAAAACATGTTTGGAGAAAATAATTCACGCCGAGATCCATTCTTTAAAGATAATGCTTCGGAACAAGCTCCTGAAGCTTCGTCGGAGGACTCTGAAATTGATTCAGTTGAAGAGGATAGGTTATCTGGAATTGAGGGTCTCACTTATAAACCAATCAATATTGACTTGATGGGAGAATTGCAAGAAGTAATTAAAGGTTTCGGCTTAAAAGGTCGTCTTCAAGATTCAGGATCTTTAACAACCAATAGTGATAAGAGTTTCAATTGGTCTGGCTCGCAATCACAGCAACAACCAGAGCAAAATTCAGTTTGTTCATCAAACTCGCAATCTCGACGTTCAAGTTACAATTTACCTTTACCTCCATCAAAATCTTGTAATTCTCGGAAATCATCAGACACGCCTGTTGAGACCAAAGAAAACCTTTTAATAACTCTTGACTCATCACCGGAAGATTTAGAATCAATGTTTGACCCACTCTCACAAAAACAACAATCCTATTTGTACTCTAATCAACAGAAAAAAGGACCACAACAACGAAATGAGACTCAAAAGCTGTTTCAAAATTCAGAAAACTCTATTCTATTCGATTCCAATCTACCTAACCAACCAATATCAACTCAAAGTGATCTTAATTTATTGAACCAAACCACAACAATCAATACAAATCAGCGTCCTCAATTACCACCGAAACCTCCAGCTCAAAGTTATTTATACAGATTACCCTCAACAATTCGTTATAATCAATTACCTCAGCCTTCATCTCATCTTTTCTCTTCATCATCCAATTCTTCCTCGTCAACATCTTCGCCTTATTCTCATTCCTCTTCGTCTTCTTCATCATCTACTATTAATCCATCAAACTCCATGATATCAAGTGATCCCAGAGCCTCAATTTATCCAATCAGGCCTGCGTCAACCAATTTAGGAAACCACTCATTCCTTCACAGTAACTCTAATCACAATGGTGCCTTAAAGCCTCGTTCAAACGCATACACAAATCCGATCTGCAATATATCCAATACAACCTTGCATGGTGGACTTTCGACAAATCCATTCACAAACAATAATTCTGTTCAATTTACCTCTTGTGGTAAAAGCTCAACAGCAAACTCAATCATCCATCCTAATCTTGAGAGTATCGTTGCCACTGATCAGAATTCCTTCAACTCAAATTGGCAGAAATTTGATTGAAAATTGAAAAAACATTGAATTGTTTCAGAATCGTGGTAACTAAAAAGCTATTTAAAATAGCAAAAATATGTGCACATAAATACATATTAATTAGTTTAAGATATGTACATGTTGTGTGTATAGTTAGGCATTATTTACAAAAAAAATAGTTGAGTCCTAATTACTATTTTAGTAAATTACAAATCAATTCAATGAGTATAAAAAGAGATAAAATTAAAACAAATTGTTTGAAAAATCAATTTTTTCCTATCAAAATATGTTTAATCATATTTAGTTAGCAAAATGCAAAAGTAATTGTAAAGCAATAGATTTATTTTGGTCACCAAGATCCATTATCCATTATTTACATCATTCCCACACAGTCCATGATTAAGATGTCAACAACCATCAACTCGTCGTCCAAATTGAGATTTTAAATAAGAAACAAAATATCGCCAATTTAACCATTTTTTAACCATTAATGTGAATACTCTCACAATATAAGATCAATTGTGTTAACATAAAAACTGGTTAATCCTGAAACGAAACCAATGTTACCCTTTGTTATTAATAAATAACTAATGTAATAATAGCCATGTTTACATCTAAAGAAAATGTAATCAGAGAAAAATTAATATTAACAACAATTATTTACCAATAATTGTTGAACGTGTAATAAACACTAATTATTTACAAACTATTCATTAATGTTATTTTCATCTTTTTAGATTAACCTCCAAACTTATCAAACCAGGATGAAAGGATGATGAAGATACGGCAAAAAATACGAGGATAAAGATGATTAATCATGAAATTTATACAAAAGAGCAACAATTTTCAAAGAAAGTTAATGAAAAAATCAATGTTTATATTGGACCATTTAAGGATCTTGGAGAGCGTTAAAAAGTGATAATCAATCAATGGTTAAACGTTTATCCAATTGAACCTTACAGTCTTCTGGTGCAGCTTTGAGTTGTTTATTAATAGGCCATTACTTGAACAGTTTGCAGTCCTCAATCCCTCGATGTGTGTCAATACACTTTATGATTTAATCGCCATTTTCTCCTCCATTTTTACCATGTTTCACTTTTTCTGCTTTTCCACCTCAACATGTTTATATTATTAATGAGATAGGATAATCACTGTTATGTGTACTTTTCTTGTGTCGCTTTCTGCCATGCCCATGCCAATTCGTTATCATGATTCTTGATCATCATCATCATTCTAATCAACAGCAACATCATTACAATCATCTTTTTCCGTCAACGCAAAACATGATTCCCTTGGGCACCCATTTTTGTGAAATGTCAATGGATGATTAATTAGAAGCCAAAGACAAAACAATTTTTCCTCTCTTTTCTTCTTCTTCTTCTTCATCTTTCAAGTTATTATCCATCACTTGTAACACTTCATATTCAATGCTCTCTCACTCTATGACGTCCTCTCTCTTTATGGGTGCACCATTTTTAGCCTCGTCCTTTATCTTCATCATCCTCATCAATATCATCTTTAGAGCTTGTTTTTGAATTGTCTTCAATCCTCTTTGATCTTTCTCTTTCTCTCTCAGCCTTTTTTCACAGATATTACAACAAAAAAGTAAAGATAAAACACGAAAATGGTAACAAACATATTCTGTTGCCTTTCCAATGACAAAATGAAACGCGAAATGAGTGAGAAACGCAAAAAAAGGTCTTAATTTTTTTGTCACTTTCTACTTTTGACAGAGTAAAGTGATAAACTGAAAAATAATCATCTTTTAGAGTAAAACAAAGACAAGATGAACATACATGATTAACTCGTATCTGCATCAACATCTCTACTTGGATAATTTTGTTGATCCCTAGACTTTACGAGAAAACGTCTAAATCCTTCATTTGTACCATTCAATTGTTTTCAAAATCAATTGATCAGCACTAAAGACGGTAAACTGATCTAATCACTTGAGTTACCCGAACTATCTGATTATCTTAAAATACAAGCAATTAACTAAACGATTCTTTAGTGATAAGTCGTTGATAAATACTAAATCATTACAAAGATATTCTGAGATCAATTAAATTCTTAAATTGGCAAACTTAATGACTAATACTCATTTGGGTTTAACTAAAGCGAAGAAACAAATGTTCAAACATCCCATTCATTCATTGGCGAAACAATTCTATTCAGAATAATATTGTCCACTCTCTATTAATAGTTAATATTTCAAAAATTAAATTCTTTTTTTTATTCAATTTCATGTGTGATTTCTTGAATGATTGAACGATTACAGCAAAACATTGTCTGTCTAATTTTTCACTATTGTTTCAAAAATTGAGTTTAACAGAAGATTTTAATTTATAATTAAGATGGATTAGGTATTTGAGTTTAAGTTTTTGGAACAGTTGAGTTTGATGTTGAGCATGAAACTGATGATGTTGGGTAGGAAGAAGTTAAGTCAATGTAACATTACGAGTAACATTAGTTTGCCTTTCAAATGTTTCCTTCAGAAGATGACTCAAAGAACCACGCAATTCGTAATCGCAATCAGATTGGCTTTTTGAAGCTTCACTTTTACGCCATTTGGCTCGAGCATTTTCAAACCAAATCTAGGAATGCAAGAAGAAAGAAGAAGAACGAAATTGAACTGAACTAAATTACATGATAAATGGATAAACAAAATGCAAGATAATTTCAGGTGAAAAGAAGAATGTTGTTTAGACTAAAAAATGTGAAAAGCCAAAGAAACATGGAAAACATAAGAAACGGTGAAATGGGTAAACAAGACACAATAGGATGAACAGGTAAGGCTAATAAAGCCATTTATAAGTTGACAAACAGATTCATTAGGAAATTTTATTCGTAAAAGATGTTAAACTGTTCAAATCTTTTGTCATCCCTTTATCATCCTTTTCTCATCATTTTCATGTTCATTTTTTGTCTTTTGCTTGTCCTATTCAAATGTTTGCTTGACATTTCAATCTATTTTTAAAGAGTTAAGACGATGATGAGAGCAAAGACCCACAGAGTAAACTTGTAAATTGTGGAGACAAGGAAGACGAAGAAGAAGAAGACTCCTAAAATGAAGATAAATTGAGGGTAAAAAGTAAAGGTTGGGAAGGTGCTGGTCAAGGCAAAGGGAATGGCGATCATGGTCATTATCTTCATCATCTATATCATACGAATGCGAATATGTTTTCTTGTCCATCCTGATCACCTTATTCATCGCTGTTTGACCAACTCACAGGGTGCATTGTTGAATGTATTGTTAGAACAGAGGAAAGTAAATGACCGTGACTGGTATGTTCCTTTAGAGAGTGAAAAGAAACTGACCTCTGTCCTTGTACCGGAAAGGCTAGAAAAGGAGACAACTATTATTGAAGCATTTTTCCTCTCCATTGAATAGGACGATACCATGAAACAAATGTTGAAAACTATGATGAAGTGCTGAAATCTCTAATTTCATAATTATTCCAAATTTAACTTTCAACTGAAAAATCATTTTTATTTCCCTTCACTTTTACCAAAAAGGTCAAGTCTTTTAAAATTTTAAACACTCTTTCAAGAATACAAGTTTGTCCAAATTTAATCATTGGCATTGTCCAAATGTTTTGCTTCTAATTTTAAATTCAACCTGACCACTTCAACTAAGCTCTTGAAATGCTCACAGTTTAAGGTAAACAATAAATCTGTAAACCTTTTGACGGGTTAATCCGTTTGACAAGTTGGTTGACAGTAAATGTACCTTTCAAAGTTTGGTAAAAATATTAAAGGGCACAAAATGAGAAGAAACAAAATCCCAAAAACATTGTCGAAAGGCGAAAACTAAAAATTTTATTTTTTCGATTTACTATCGAGTTACTATTAAACTAATCGGAAGTGCCTTCCACACTTGACTAGGAAAGTAATACATAATGTTGGACAAGGGAAGTCCTCGGAAAGTCCGTTGATGAAGCAAAATTAGAGTCACTAATCACTTCGGAAAGACCAACTTACCAATTAAGTGTCCAATCAAGAGGCTTTTGACCATCTAACGGACATTTTCTTACAAGTCTTACATAAAGGGAAAATAATTCATCGAAAGGTTAAAGTCAGGTAAAGAGAGAAGAGATTGAGAAAAAATAATTACATTATTATTCAGTTTAAATTACAGTTAAACTCCCAATGCTCATCTTGTATCATTCCCTGTGCTGTTAACATTTATTATTGGCTATTAATAATCTTTGCGTGGGAATCGTTCAGGTTATCATAAATAGCGATGAACATAAAAGCTTTCAAAAATGCATTCAATCCGAATTAACCTTTTACCTTTACTTTTTTACTTTTGTAATAAATTAGTCAACTTTATATTCAAATGGAAACATTTTTCTTTTACCTTTTCAGTCAACTTGGCAAGACGCAAAGTCACTCATTTGGATCACCTTTAACGTGAGTTCCGGTCAAAGGAAGATAAAATTATTATCTTCTTTCCTCTAAACAACATCAACACTGATTTGACCTCAGCTTTGGACCATTCTTTCAAGTCATTAAAACACATTTAAAATAAAACATAAAAAAGACAAAACTCTTAAAATAGTCGAATCTTTTTCTGCTCTTGACTTTTGTAAATAAATGTTCAACCTCAAGTTGAATTTCCTTACAATTTTGATAGAGGAATCCAATTTCTGGTTGTCTTAAAATGTAATACAAATACCTAATAAATTTTGTGGTAAAATCCTGAAAAATCGAAAAATTCTCCAGTTAGTTTAATAATTTGATTTCTTTCTTCACAAATTAGGTTATTAATGCATCAGCTATTGAAATCATCAAAAACATAATGTTTATGAAGTGAATCGAGAATAACTATCAAAAGATCGAGAATCGGCTCAATTCAGTTTGCAATTTGATTTTTCATTTAAATCTATATCAATCTTTTTCCCTCGGTCATGTCTAATTACGAACTGATTAAATGCAAGAATGGTGAAAATTTTTGCTTTCATACAACAATATTTTTCTTTCATGGTTTTGTCTTTCTCGATGTTGAACACAAACCGATATCAATAGACTACTCCATTCATGTACTTTCTCTCATCTTTTCTCAACTTGATCATGGATAAACCCGAACAAATTCAGGTGAAAAATACCTTTAATCTGACAATCTTCATTGTGAAAGCAATCCAATGAATTTAAGCCATCGATAAATTCCATTCTTTGCCCTGAAGGCTTACCATTACAATTTGAATCCCTCTAAAATGGAAGCTGATTTTGTTTTACAAGCATTTTTGGTCACAAAATTTCTCGAGACTTAACTGAAAGACTTTGCAGCTTTCAATGAAAATGTCTTCTAATCCATAAAAGAAACAAAAGTGAAATATTGTCGTTATTGTTATTTTATTTATAATATTTATACTTTTTTAAATTTGTAATCTGTTTGTGCATTAGAAGAGGTGATTACAGAGGAAACAAGGTTTGAGGTGGGGTTTTGAACAACATTATGGTGAAATGGGATTGATGGTCATTCATGATGAGCTTTTGGAATAGCAAATTTAGACAAAAGGAAAACGAAACAAAGAATTGAATGTAAAGAGGAAAAGAGATGATAATGAATGTGATTAAAAGTGCCATTAATTGGAGGAGAAAAGATGAAAAATGATATTCCAATGAGTTGATGGTTTCAAAATTGTCATCTCTCTCTTGATCACCAATAATTTGATCGTCATTAAACAGTTTGACAGTAGTTTGATTGATTAGCAGAGTTGAAGTCTCTGTAAATTGAAATTACTTTTCAATGTTATTACAAAATATGTTTCAGTTTGCACACAGTTGAAGGTAAACCAGTGAAAGGTGAGATGCCACTTTCCGATTGATAACCAGTAAAATATGCAATGACTTTGTCCAGCTTATGTTTAAATGTCATTTATTTATCAACTTGAGAATTGATGAGGAACGAAATTGATTGATTTCGATCTGTTTTTTTCTTTCATCTGTTTATCTACCTTTACATGTTAACATGTTGCGAGTGTTTACATTTACCTTTAACCTGATTCATGGCGCATCTTTAATTATTCCTCTTTTGATTGATAAAAACAACAACAAAAGACTCATCGTTATTTGTTTTCATGGATATTCAATTCATCAACATCTTCATCATTATCAATGGTTCAATCCATCAACAAAATGGTTGTTCAATGTTTCAACTTTGGACTAACCCTGAAAAAAGTTTGTAGACAACTTGAAAGCCCAGCCTTGAATTTTGCTTGAAATGTGGTCAAAAGTGTCCTTTTATTCCTAGTAACTTATTTGAAAATTAATTAGACCGAAAGATGGATGATAAACACGATGATCATGAGGAGAAGAATGATGATTCTGTTGAAATGAGTGGAGGCGAAAAAGTTACAACTTGAAATTTAAATAGAATGAAATTTGTTAATAAAAAGTTGATTTTTGAGTTAACTGTCAATAGAGAGGTTGAAATGAGGTGGAATGAGGAAGGAGTGTTTCTTCAAACGGTGAATACATTGAGGAACCCTCCGGGTGACGATGAAGATGGATTGAATGATGATCAATGGGTAAGGATAAGGGTGTATGTAGGGCTGAATGGTGTGAAGTGGTTGGATGAAGAGCGAGTCCTGATGAGGTTAACAGTGAGGGTGGTTGGTGAGGTGTTACAACTCCAGTTAAATGTGATTCTATTGGAATTGAAAGTGGAGACTGAGATGGTCCAAGTGAATGTTGTTGAACATGTTGATGGTGGGAAATTGATGGGGATGAACATGAAGATACTGAGGTTGGTCCAACTCCTGTTGGTGGTAATGATAAACCTAATGGTTCTGAAGAGGATGATGATGACTGTTGCTGTTGTTGTAATGATTGATTTGGACTCTCTGGAGTTGGACTGGGACCAGTTAAGGGTGGAAATTGATCTAATGAAGAACCATTTGAATTGGTCAACAGTAACGATGATGGTTCGTGTATCGTTAAACCTGATGATGGACTTGGCGTTGAAAAGGGCCGTGAATGACTACTGCCACCTGGACTGCCGATGCCTGTTGATGGACTGGCTGGAGCAATAGAAGAGGTTAAACCGTTCAATGAGTTCAACTGGGATTGACTTTGCTGGCTATTTGTATCACAACCAGTTCCAAGGGTTGAACAGTTTGATGTGTTTCCCTTGGATTGCTTTGAGTTGCCCGATGTTGATGAACAATCGCCGTGTTTAGGGTTATTTTTACGCCATTTAGCACGAGCATTTTGAAACCAAACCTTGATAAGAAGGGAAAACAAAATTAAATTACTAAAAAAACTAGTAAATTGAGTCGAGTTGACTTTTCATGAAATTGATTTACTTTTGACAATAAAGTTGAAAAGGTTTTTACACTTGAAAGGTAACTTTAGCTATTGTAACTAGTGTTGCTCATGTCATTCAAATAACAACTCTTGAGTATTGATAGAGATTAAAGTGCACTTCAACTTTGACCTTTGAAAGTTTGAGTAACCTGAAGATAGGGAACCTCTTTTATATCAATCATGGTTCATCTATAGAGCTATCAAGTTACTTGAGTAAAAATTTTAAATCATTTAATCATAAAAATTAATCAACTCCATCAAATCAACTAAGAAGACATTTTTTCATTTCAACATTTTTCCATCAATTAATTTCCAAGATTTACTGAATCGACAAAAGCCAAAAGGCTAAAGACTTTTGTGGTTAACTAACAAAAGTCAGAGGAAAGGCGAGTTGGAGTCAAAAGCTAAACCCAAGAGAGTTGCCCTTGTAGGACAAAAAAAGTCAATAACTTGGCCTCTTTGGATTTCCCTTCAATTCATTTTCTCATTGATTTCATTGAGTTAACAATTAACTTAAGTGATGCTATTAAGGGCCAGAACTTCGTGTGATGAAAATTCAGTTATTGAAGTTCTTCAAGGCTTGAAATTCGGTTTCATGATCTTATCTCTATATTGGTCTATTAATGAATTACATTCAAAGTTATTCCATTTTTTCGATGTTTTGTTGTTTCTGTTTTGACATCAATCAGTCAATGTATCAAGTGTCTCGATGCAAGTCATTAAATTGTTACCTTTCAACACACAACACACATTATGTATTCATTAATATTTAGAAAAAGAAGAAAAAAACAAAACAGAATTCATTGTAACAGACAAAGATAGCTTATCTGAATATCCAGTGAAATATAAACATGATGACAAGTGAAAGACAGGGAAAAAAATGAAACAGTAAGTATTGTATTTCATGACCTGGATTGCAAATTCTGATGACATCTTCTTCATCTATTTTTCATCAGTTTGACAGGAGCAAAAAAATCTTTACCAAATCAACGTAAAAAAAGCGAAGCAAAAAAATACTTTTCTGGTTTACCTGATAATAAAACTTTCTAACTTTTCAGCTTTTTTCTTCTTCTTTTAAAAAATTATCAAAATGATGATGAAGATAATGATGAAAATACTGATGAAAAGACTGATGAAAATGATGATGAGAAGGAAAATATTGAGAAAAAAATTCTTCCTTAACTGATGAAGGTTTCAAGTTGCTTTACCATTTTTGCCGCCTTCCATCCAAAACTAAGGTAACTTGATTCAGTAAGTGTGCTGAATCTCATTTAATCACAACAACGATCATGAAAAAATGATGAAAACTCATCGTCTGTTCTAATCTACTTCTCTTCTTACCTTTGGAAGCATCTTGCATAACAAGTGATTATCATCTTGATATTCAGTTGACACTCAAAGACTTAAAAACTCAACTCAAGATATTATCTGAAAAGCCAAAAAATGGCAAAAAGACAAAAATTTTCATCTCTTTTTGTCTTCTGTCAATTGAGCAGCAAAAAATGAATAATAAACCAACAACTGAAATTCATAAGTTTTTCACTTTTGCACACTCGGAATATCAACAAAAGTGCAAAACTCAAGATTGAATTGCATGAATTGAATAAAGAAACTTTTGCAAATCATTTTGTTTCCATGAACAAAGTTCAATTCGATGAGAAGATAATATTGTTGCTTCCAACAATATGAAGTTTGAAAGGAAGCAGCAAACCATGTCAATTTGAGGTTTATTATCATGAAAAGTTGAATGGAAAATGAAAAGACAAAAAAAGTAAAAACAATCAATAAACATGAAGAAAATGCGAAACAAGGTTTTTTCAAGATTCACCTTTCGGGCAAATCATGAATCGAACAGAATCGTGAAATTAAATTGTTGAACATTTCAAGAAAAACCCATGATTCAACCTCTCGATCTATATATTTTTATCCCTAAGGTATCATCATCATCTTTCGATTTAGAAAATCTTCTTTTTCTTTTTCTTTTTCTTCTTCCTGTCAAATGTGAATAAGTTACTGAAATTATCTTGAAAACTTCTGGTTTATCCAAATATTCATCATCAACATTTCTTCCTTTTCTTGTGTTTCCAAAAGATATCAGCATTTCGAGAGATTCCAGTTTCTATGAAAAAGGAAATTTTTAAGGTTTGTTTTTTGGAAGCTTTTCAACGATCCTTCAAACAAGAAGATGAGAAAGAAGAAAACGCTGATGATGAGGACAAAGATGAAGATAAAGACGAGAAGAAGAAGAAGTTTGAATAATGAAAAAGATGACGTTATCTCCACTCCTATAGTTAATGTTGATAACCTTTAACTGTTTCACATTTAAACTTGAAAACTCGTTGTTATCCGAAAGGAAAACTTGCCAATCAAAAAAATTGAGGTTTACATTATGATAGCACTTTCGTCTTGTTAGTGCAACATATTATGAGTTGTTGAGGAGGAGGATAATGATGAAGGAAGAGAAGAAGAGAAAATCGGAAACTTTTGTTTCTCCAGATTATCATGTTATATTTACATTGAGAAACAAAAAATGTAAATACAACTGAAATTGAGCTTTCATTATAATCAGATGATGGAAGCAGAAAATTTCACTTGTGACACTTGGATCAATTTTTTGTTTCTTTTTCTTCTTCTTCCATACAAAATGTTTGCTTGTTTTTAGGATCATCATCATTCTCATCATAATCATCATCATAATCATCATGATAGGGAGTGGAATGATTATTTATATATTTTTACATGATTGACAGTGGGTTGATATTGGGTTGAGCTTTTCTTTACACAACTTTTCAGTTTTGTTTATTTTCGTTCATTACTACTTAAGATGAGTGAAGCCAAAGAGAAATGTTGTTTAATCAAATTATACTGATGAGCAGGGAAGATGGAGAGAAAAGAACAAGAAAAAATTGATATTCTTATTATCATGGAATCTGAAGTGAGGAGTAAATTTTGCCGCTCAACACAGTGTTTATTGATACACAGGTTCTGGTAAATATGCTTGTTACTCTAATGGCAATTTTCATCTGTAACTTTTCCACTTTGTCTAAACAGATAGCAACTTGAAATGCTGTCTCATTCATCATCATCAATACGCTTATACACACATATTTAAACCTACTGTTGACCATCATCTGGGACAGTGCATCTGATGGTGCCAGACTGTCGTTTGTTGACTTTACTTTTCCAGCTTTCTTCATCTTTTCTGTTTATCCTTTTTTTTCTCAAGAAAATACACATTTTCGCCAAACATTTGCTATTCAATCATTTTTTATTTTCATCATTTACTTCAGATATTTCATGTTCCCTTTCAGAATATAAATTTTCAAGATTTATTGACTTTTACTTAGCAAAGTATAACTTAACTGAAAACAATTTTTTATCAACTTTAACAAAACACAGCAATCAATTACAAAATTGCCATAAATTTAGTTAACTCATAATTTGATGAATTTTCAAGCAACTTTGTCAAATCTCTTTTATTCACCATGGTTATAGGTTGATGAAATGAATTGGAATACGCATGGTTGAGTAAATCAGTTTACATGGAAGAAAATGTGAAAAAAGAAAAGGACAAAAAGAGGAAAATCAATGAATTGTGAAAAGTTGAGAGAAGCTCAACTTATCCAATGAAAATGTTGATTCAATTCTCAGTAGACTGAACTCATGTAATATAGAGAAACATTTAAACCTATAAATGTTCATGAATGAGATTCTACTGAAAGAGAAAGAACAATTTAGAGAATGAAAAAAGTTGAATATTAAGTCATTTAAATTGGAGAAGCATAAAGAATTGAGAAGAAAAATGAACTTGAATGTTGAATGAAAAATGAATCTAATTTAATGGAAAATCGAGATTTTCAACTTTTCCTTTCAAAGGTAATTTCAGATAATTTATCATCCAACTGTAAGTGCCAACGTTTTTATGGCAACATTGTCATTTTGATGTAATTAATGTTGACTAAAAAATCTGTTAGAGTCTAGTTCTAGAGGTTGTTAAAGATCACGCAAACGGTTCGAGTTTAACGTTCAACTTTGACAAGGTTGACATTAGTTTCAACAAGTACGAAGGAAAAGGTCACATTTTGTGCCAGTAAAAACAAAATGTTTTCCTTCTCATCATTTTCCTCTCTTTCCCTTGCGAGTTTTTGTCAATTGAAACAAGATGTCTATCCAGATGCTCAGCTCAATCGATGATGAGGACGAATATAAAAAGTTGTTAGTAATTAACCTGAGGCTATATTCTCAGGTCACCCGTTCAAAGGAAGACAAAAAAAGAAGTGCAACTGAGAGTTACATTGCATTCACCTGCCAAGACGATTGAGGTGAGGAGGAGGAAGAGGATCAAAGGCAGGACAAATGTAATCATCTTTAATCAGTTTACTATCATTAATAACTGTAACTGTCCAAAAGTAACTTTTTGTTTCAATCATTTACTTTTCAAAGTGATTTCACTATTTTATCCGTTAAACTAAACACTGGACTGACACTTGGAATGAGCATTTGACCATTGAGTCTACTTTGTCAACTTTTCTGTTCAACTTCAAAGTTGATTGAAAGTCTTACCTGAAGGACCCTTTTGGAAAGGCCAGTTTTGGTGGACAATCCTTTCAAATCCTTGGCGTCCGGGTTTTGATTAACAGAGAAGTAAGACTTCATGGTCTTCAGTTGAGCGTGTTTAAACGATGTTCGGACTCTTTTGCTTTTGCTTTTACTATTGCCATTGTTGCTGCTGGATGAAGCAGGGGAAGCGGATGATAGTGATGATGGTTCTCGGTTATTTGATGATAAAGATGGTTCTCGTGTGTTTGATGGTAATGATGATGGTTCCCGGGTGTTGCATGATAAAGATGATTCTCGGTTGGATGATAAAGATGAGGTTGACTTTTTTACAAGACTACTGTAGTGATCGGAGCAGTAAATTTTACCGTCAATCAACACGTAATAATCATTTTTGTGAAGTACTGAGAAACACTGTGAACAGGTGAAACAATCGAGGTGATAAAAATTTTGCGAGTTGACCTTCATCACCAGTTGATTGGGTTTAATAATTTGACAGCATTTACTGCACGATCTAAATGAAACAAATAACCGATGGTAATCGTGCTTACAATAGGTTAATCCGTTTCGAACGAAACACCGCTTCTCAAGGTTACAACCACATTCAGCACAAGTTAAACACCATGAATGCCAATGTTTATCATCAAAGACCAGATAATATCGGTCCACAATGGTGTGTCCACAGCCGCCACAGTAAACGGCACTAGTTGAGGTTGAAGCCACAGTGGTTGATGATGATGATGAGGGTTGCTGTTGATCCAAACTTGATTCATTTTCACCGTATTCAAGATCAATTGATTGTTCCAATGATGCCTCACTTTTAGGTGAACCCTTCATGATTACTGACGACACATCACTAACAACAAACACTCACATTGTAGAGTGTCCATGTCGACTGGCGCAGTCTCGACTCCACCTAACAAGGCTGCAACAAAGGTGGGCTTGAGATGGGCAAGGAGGAGTTGCAAGGCAGAAAAAAAAAGGAAGATGAAAAGATGAAGAAAATTTGTTTTCTCTTCTTAAGTTTACTTTTCACTTGACTCAATGTTAAACTTGAATTTTCATCTTTTCTCATCTTTTTTTCCATCTCTTCTTTATCTCCACTTTCACCCTTTCCAGATTCAAAACTGACGATGAAAATTGATAAACATTTTTCATGCTCAACTTGATTCAAATCTCAAGTTTCACTGACAATTGATCTGTAAACCCACAACATATTTACATGTGTACCACTTTATTAATAGCACTACTTGGAGGTAAAGGTTGCCCTTTGTTGATAAACAAATGTAAAGATCGCATTTGATCCTTGAACGTGTGCATATCCACTTACCCTTAATCTCATGAGTATTAAGACAAAAGCAGGTTCATGATCATGTTGATTGAAAAGAGCATCTCTCAAGTGAAAAACAATTGACAAGGGAAAAGACGAAATTAGTTTGTTGACCGCAATGGTCAACCTTTGCCCAAATGAAAACAGAAACTTGGACCAAAATGAAAATGATGTTTGAAACAAAATATGAATGGTTCATGTTTTTTTCTTGATTCAGATGATCATTAGAATCATGTTATATGAGGAATGTGATGATGAGAAAGAGGCGTTCAATGGATGCTGGGAGGATGCCAAGATGATTCCTGGTTGGTTCCTGAGCAAAAGCAAAATATGGAGTGACATCATTTCCAATTTTTTGTTCATCTCTCTCTCTCACACACACACTTCATCCTCTTCACTCTCATCTTCCCCCGCATCTATATTTCACGGATTATATCCTATGCAATGGTCTTGAAAAAAGCAGCAAACACAGCATCTCATATTCAGTATAATTGGCTTCATATTCCTCTTCATGTAAACCATTGTAATTTTCCTTCTGTCTCTTCATCTTCATCTTTTCTCTTCATCATTGCCATCTTTATCATCCTTTGGGTCTTTCACATCAAACCCTTGATTCTTTACCTTCAGTCCACCTTTACTCTTCTTTATACTCGTGCCTGTCCTCCTCCTACTTTCATCTCATATTACAAACCTTTTCATCTTCATAATCTTTTCTCATCCATTGATAACAACAATTGATTTTCATGTTCTGTTATCAATTCGCAAGGTTTAATTGTTTCACTGAAAGGGCACTTGAAGACATTTTTTGACGCAAATTAACTTTAAATTTAACTTTATTGAACCTTTATTTTGACAAAAAGTGCCCTTTGATTAAGCAAATCTAGCCAATTGAAGCATTAGTCTGTGTAATAAATAAGAGTTGAAAGTAAAGTAAAAAATGTTATTAAATGTAAAGTAAAAAATGTTAATATTTACGATCAGGAAAGATGAGACGAAAGGTGAAGCAAATGAGTCTCATGTCTTTGGTCTTCATTCGTGTTAATCCTCATTATAAGGGAACAGCTAATGAAAAAGCAAGCCACTGACCTCACTAATCGAGCTTGTAAGTCAGTAGCTAAAGACTGCAATTATGGCCATTTAGTTTGTCCATTGAGATTAGACAAGAGTGACAAAAGCAGAGACAATAAGACAATCACAAAGTCCACTTACAATGAAATTGATCCTCACTTCATGTAAACTTAACTACAATATTTACCTTTTTTAAATCAACCCCCAAAAATATCTGTTAAGCATCTCTTTATCCTAGACCAATAAAAGTTTTCATTTCAAAAGCGATCTTGTTTTATATTGGCTTTTATATTGTCCAACAATCATTTTGAATAACCACTTCAAATCTTATTGTGGCCATTTCGCGATTCAAATGTAAGCCTAACAAAAAGCTAATTCAGTAATCTTTTGACTTTTTTTTGGTTCTTTGAATGTTAATCGTGAGACGAAGTTTTGCCTCGATTCTCATATGAAACAATTGAGCGAAATGTCTTGAACAATTTGAAAGTGAAATAAGGATAAAATGAGCCAAGTGCAAGTCAGCTACTAATAAAGTGATCAATATGTTGACATTTAAAGTGTTGATGGTTTTACAGTTAAATCAACAATACTCCAAAGTATCAATTACTTCAAGTCAAAAGTTATACTTTGTTTGCGGGTCTCACTTGTGTGTACATTTGTACGTCTTCATGTGTTTGTTTTTGGTATTATAATGAGCCACTGATTAGGATGATGATGCTTTGCTCAATTGCTTTTGTTAATAGTTGGGTTCAGCCTCGCGCTTTTCCAGTCTAATCCACATGAAAGCTAAACCTTACCCATTAATGTGTTTACACTTGAACAAACTTTGCACACCTTTTTCAGTCTCTTTATGTAAAAGTGTCATTCTATGATTTTGTTTATGAAAATAAATTGCATTTCAATTGAGTAAAATAAGATTGATAAACTTTATCAATCTTATTCAATTGGTTCATGTTGTTTGTATTGGAGTCAATATTTGCTTTTAACCTTTCACTCTCAAGAGTGATTTACATTTTCTGCTCATTTTTTACTTTCATTGAAATTATTCACAAAATTATTATCGATCATTATCAATGGACATTTGCACAACGGTCGACTTCATCTCTTGTGTGACAAACTCTCAGCCTGATGATAATGGTGATGAAAAATTGAATCTTGATTAAGTGTTGATGGTTTGAAGCACGATTTAATTTACCTTCATAAAACTGGCCAAAATCACGTTCACATTCAGTTCTAGCTTTTTCCTTTTGTCACTCAACATTTTGCTTTGTTAGCTGTAAAAATGTTTCCTCAGTCAGGAACATCAAGATTTGATGCTGCTCATGATGAACAGGAAAAAATGACAAAAAATGCTTTTTGCGTTCCTCACAATTCGATAAGCACGTACTTTTTGTTCAATGAATTGCAATTGGTTTTAGTTTAAAGCAAAATCCTTTCAAAGAGCAGCTCATGTCAGTTAATATAGAAACCTTTAACAACAAAAATGTTGCTTTCATTAGAATCGATATTTTATTAGGATTATCAGAATTTTCTGATCACTTAAGTTTCAAATTAGTTCGATTTTTTGAATGCAAATCATTCATCGATAAGATTTTTAGTTTTAGTAGTCGGAGGTCATTTCTCGACTCAATAGAAGTTAGTTATTTATATTCAGTTTGTTGATCAATGAGGAAAAGATGAGATGAAAAATGATAGATTTACTGATATTCCTGATGTAAAGCATCAAGAACTTGGAAAAGATAATATCGATCGAAATCTTAAAGTTCGAGTAAATTTTTTATCATTTTTGATTCTTTAATGAAAATGAGAATTTTGTTCAACGAATTATAGAAACGTTGTTGCTTGCATAATTTCAATGAAAATCTTATAGAAATTGGTGAAAAAATTGAATTTCCTGAATCATTAATCTGAAGATTTTAAATTTGGCTCATTGACTGGACTGTAAAGACAAAAGACGTTTTGAGAGGAAACATCGATTGAACTTGTTCAATCATAGGTCAGACTTGGTTAGGTTAAAATGTTAACCTTTTGTCTTGTTAAACAATAGACAGTTTGCAAGTGATTAACAGTGATTAATGTTCGGTGATCAAGTGATTATCGGTTAATTTTGGAGCAGCACAATGTTATCAGATTCTTGAAATTGCTTCAACGATCCCAGGCTGAAGATAATATCAAACAACAAATAGACCGTGAGAATATCCTTTGTAACTCAAATATTTATCATTTCATTTCAATAATGCAATTGAAAGAAACAAAGCAACATCAATAATTTGCTCGATTGTTTAATTGCAATTAAAGTCAAATCTTCACCAATAAACAATTTTTCCAGTCAATAAAAGGTTCGTTGACAGAAACTCAGGTGACCGTAACCCATCGCTCATGAACTGTCTTCAATAAGTTTCCCAGATTTCAATCAAAATCACTGTTAACATCTTAACCATTACAACCAAAGAAAATGAAGTTTGGCATGAAATAACTTAACACAATCGAACTGATAACAGGACAAATCACCAAGAAATGCTGATCCATTGGAATGCATCAAATGTCTCAGTCGAGACCGAGTTTGATTGTTAAATCATTTCTTGAGTTTATTCAAATTTCCATTTTTAATAATTTTCCATTTGCGATTCAATTTGCTCTTGTTTTTTCAATTTCACTCGTTCTCATGATAAATCAATTAGTTGAACAGAAACTTTCCTGTAAATTGATACCAACATTGACACTGGTTTTCATTTTCATTTGATATCAACTTTCATAAATTGCATCATTTTTCATTTCGTAATTTCATGGATTCAACTAATGAAAGGGTTGGCAAAACATCTTCAAGTCATTAAAGCAACTTTTTTCTGTAAACTTTTTTTTCTCTATTTTCTGTACATTTATTAGTCCAAAATAAGTGACAAAAATTATCATTTCGACCCATTTTCCATTTCTATCATCGTTAGCTCATCATTGCAGCCATCAAAAAAGGTTCATGTCAACATTGTCACTTCGTGTATGTTTTTGATTTTTATCAATGTCACAGTCGTCAGTATCACTTCAATATGAACACTCAGTTTCACCGAGTTAGACAAAGGAATTACATGAGCTTTTCTGTAAGTCAAGATGAAGAGGAGAAGGAAAAAAAGTTGCAAAAAATGTATTCATAAAGCACTTGAGTTTTTTTCAGCTTCTTCATCTCATCCTAACAAGCTATCAAACAATTTTGTGGAAACGGCAAAAAGATGACAAAAAATGTGGCCAACATCATCTTGGAATGAAAGTTGTCTTTAAAAAGAAACAAAAATTTTCAACTTTTTTCTTCATAAAATGCTCTTTCATCATCTTCATCTTATTTTAGTGAAAGTAATTCTGAAAGTGTCACTTTGCGATGCACGAACAGTCCTTTTCAATCATCTTCATCGTCTTCATCAACCTCATCAACTGCATCTGCATCAAATTGAACATTCAAAGTGAACTTTTCGTGAAAAGTAAAAAAAATGAATAAACATCCAAAAGAGGTTACCTTGTTAACAAATGC